CGGGGGTGGGGGGGTGGGGCGGGGGTCCCTGGCTCCCAGCCCAGAGCAATTTAGTAAATTAGAGGAAATACAGCCATCTCTTCCTGTGTCCCCTGTTGAATGCTAGCTGCCTGGGGTGGTCGGGCGGGGAGCCCAGACTCCTGGCACCAGGGGCCTGGACTCCCAGCTCCCAGAGAGAGATTAGAGCGTGCACTAGGGGCTTCCTGAAAGGGTGAGGGTCCAGATGGGGGAGAGTTCTCTCTTGGCTGTCAATCAGGCTCCTGTCCGGTTGCCATGGCAGCACAGGCCTCCTCTACCCCACAGATAGTCCGGGTGGGGGAAAGGCCCACACCCCCTCCCCTGCCTAGAGGCCTCACTCCCCCCCCCCCACCTGCCTTCCCAGGGATCCTGGATCACTGTCTCCCCAGGGATGGGGGTGGGGACTCCTAATGTGCCCATCCCTCCCAAATCCTGGCTCCCCTGGCCCCTCCTCTCCTCTGCCCTTCCCCAAGCAGCTGGCTCAATCAGCGCTCAGAATAGCCCCCACCCCACCCCAAAATAAACCACAGCTGTGGCCTGGCCCCTGCGGGGTTAACACTCACTCTCTCCTCCCTTCCTGGTGGCTTCTCCTCCCTCAGACCCTCCTCTGCCTATCCCAGACCCACCCCTGCTTGGCCTCTGTCCTTGGGCACCCCAGGGTCCTGCTCCCTACAGAGGCCCAGGAAGGTAGCTCCTGCCCCACCCTTCTTAGGAAACTGGATGCCCAGTCCTCTGTTGGGGAGGACAGTCTCCCACCCCTCAAAGATCTAAGTAGTGGCCCCAGCTGCTGGGGGACTCTGGAGGCCCAATGGAACCTATGCCCTCAGGGATCACATTCCCCAGGCCCCCAACCTCCACCTCGTCTCAGTCCCCAGATCCATTCCATGGGGCCCAAGAGCCAAACCCTCCTTGTCCCTTGCCCTGTCAGAGACTCAGGAGGCTGGGCCCCCAGCCCCCTCTTCCCTCAGACACAGGAGCTCTAACTTCTCCCATAAAGACTCAAGAGTCTTGGCTCTCGGCACCCTCCTCCTCCCAGGCCCAGGAGTCCAGGGGCTCAGTTCTGCCCTCTCCGAGGACCCAGGAGTTTTGGCTCCCTCCTGCCCCTAGACTGGGTGCCCAGCCTCCTCTGCCCAGAAACCAGGAGTGCAGGCCCAGAGCCCCTTCCTCCCCTAAGGATCCCCTTTATGCCTCAAACTCCATCAGTCCCAACATCCTGTGAGCACCCCCCCATTCCCCCGCCAGCTCCAGCCTCCTGTCGCCCCACTCGGGTCCTGGACACAGCACAGCTGTCCCCCAGCTAAGGAGGAGGAGGAGGGTGCCAGAGATTCCTGGGGTGTCCCTGTCTCCAACACTACCCCCCCACAGCCCATCACAGAAGAGAGGAGAGGCCACTTTGATCAACAGCCCGCCCCCCCTCGCGTCGTGCTGCAGACGGCATTCCGTTCCCCCCCCAGCACCATTCTCTCCCCACCCTAATCCGGTGCTCAGAACAGGCTGGAAGGGTATTCCAGAAGCTTGAGGAAGGGGTGATAGCTTGGGGCGAGGGGTGCTTGGGGCCTGGATGCCCTCAAGGTCCTTGGCGGGGGTATTAATAGCAGACTCATAGCTCTGAGAAGGGAGGGGAGAGCGAGAGGAGAGAGGGAGAGGGACAGCCAGCGAGGGGGGAGCCCAATGCGGGCAGGGGGATGCAGAGGGAAGATGGGATGGAGAGATGGGGGGATAGAGATACGGGGTGTCAGGTATGCGGGGCTGGGGAGAGGGCGCAAAGTGTCAGAGAAATGGGGGGTTAGGAGGTCTGAGGAGCGGGGACCCAGGAGAAAGGGGCTCAGAGAGGGAGAAAGAGGGGGCAGAGGAGAGTCCCCAGGAGACAAGGGAGCCCGCCAGGGGCAGAGACCCCTGCTCACCATGCAATCCCCCCCTCCTTCCCTGAGGCCCCTGGCCAACTTTCCCTGTCCTAGATCTGGGGGTCCACATACCCCCACCCCCGCAGTCCCTCTCGGGCCTTACCTTTTCATGACCCTGTTCTGTGGGGGGTATTGCGGGGGGGCAGGACCGGAGCCCAGAGTCCAGCGACCCGAAGATTCCGCGGAGGGCTCAGGGAACCGCTGGGGGCCAGGCCCCAGGGCGGCGGTGGCGGCAGCGGTGGCAGCGGTGGCAGCGGTGGCAGTGGCGGCGGTGGGGACCTCCTGCCCGTCCCTGGCTCCGGCTCTCCCTCCTCGTCTTCGGTCCCGTCCTGCCCTGTCTGTCCCCCAAGGTTGCGGCCACCCCAACTAGGCGAGGACGCCGCTACACATGTTGCGCTAGAAGTTGGGCCCCGGACATTGCAGAGGCTGTCGGGGTGTCCTCTCGCCGCCCCGACCCCGTGGGGATCCCCCCTCCGCCCACCTGGGGTGCCCCCCTCTGCCGCTTCAGCTCCGGCTCCTCCCCCCGTCCATGTGTCCGGTCCCGCCTCTCCCTGGCTCATTCGCACCCCCACCCTTTGTGCCCTCAGCGCCCCCCCCCTCCAGCGTCTGTGTCTGTCTGTCTGTCTGTCTGGGTCACCTCTGAAGCCTGTGGCTGGTGTGTGTGTGTTTGTGTAAGGGGAGGGAGGCTGCCTGTCTGGGGGAACTGCTTGCCTTCCTCGCTTGGCCACCTCCAGACCCCCCCAGCACCCCCACACTCAAAGCCAGGCAGAAGCACACACAGATACACACGCACACACGCACGACCTCACTTCCCTGGGATTCCCCCTCAACACCCCCGGAGCTTGAGGAGGGAGGCGCGGGCACACACACACACACACACACACACACACACACAGGGGGTCCAATGGGGGCCGGGCTGCCTCTGCCGTCCGGGGCTGTTCGGACAGACAGGAGGACACAGGCAGCTGGGGACGCCAGACGCCCAGCCGGACGCAGGCAGGAGGCACAGAGTCCAGGTACACACCATTCATCCGGGTTTGGGGGGCTGGGGGGAGGAAACTGGGGGGCCCATGGCACCCAGGCAGGAGGCTCCGGGTCGGTACAGACAGACCCCTCCCTCCCTCCCTCAGCCGCTGCAGCCCTTACAGACACACCCCCCCTTCACCAGCGCAGCCCCAGACACCCCGACACACAGATCCTCACCGGGCAGATGGCAGACGCACGAGAGACCCCTGGGGGCCGGGCGGACCCACCCAGGCCAACACCCCCCAGCTGGGCACTGGTGGCCGAGGGCGGCTGCGGGCGGAGGGTGGCGGCGGCTGCCGCTGCTTGGAGGAGCCGGAGCGGGAGGGACTCGCACACTCGCTCTGTTCTCGCACACACACACTCACTCGGGATGCGATTAACATTCAGTCCCCGTCCGCCCCTGCCGGGAGACCCACAGCCCCCCCTCTTGGCCTCCCTGGGGACCCCTCCTCCTGCCGGGGCTGCGGGAGGGGGCCGGCACCCCCCCCACTCCCCCAGCTCCCAACCCTGCCCCCAGCTCCCGGCTCCTGCCTGCCTCCTGGGACAAGAGAATGAGGGTCGCAAATAAAAAGGGAGGAAGTGTGTGTTGGGGCCAGCTGGGGGTGGGTGGGTGGGGAGGCAGGAGGCAGGGACTCAGAACCCAGCTTTGACACAGCAGCTTCGGCCCTGGACTCCAGGGCCCCAGGGGCTGCTGCCCTCTGCCCCTTCCCCACTTTGAGGCTTGGGAAGCAGGAGGCCATTCCCAGACTTAAGTCTCCGCCATGCTCGGACCCATCTTTTGGCTTCTGTTGCCCCAGAAGGCCAGATTGCAAACTAGGTTTACCTCATGAAGCCAGGAGTCCAGGCTCCCAGCCCCCTCCTCTCTCAGATCCCGAAATTCAGGTCCCCAGCCCCCTCTTCCCTCAGACCCTCAAGTCCAGGTCCCCGGTGCCTCCTCCCTCAGATCCAAGAGTACAGGCCTCTGGGTCCCTCCTTCAGGCCCCATCCCTTTTAGGCACTCAGACAACCTGATCCCCCAGCACAAGCCATCCTCAGGCACCCATAAGTCTGAGACTCATGCATGTCACCCTCAGGTACCTGATCCATCCAGGCCTCTGAAGAAATCAGTATCACTTCTATTACTGAAGCACCCTGGCCTCTGTCACCCATGGGTACTCAAATATCCAGGAGGAAAGCTTCCTCCTAGACACAACCTGGTCCCTGGAGGGGTTCTCAGGCCAGCAGCCCAGCTCCTACCCCTCATGCTAGAGAGGCTGAGCCCAGGCTTCTCTAAAGTGCTGGGGTGGAGTGGAGTGGAGTGCAGGACACCTGGGCCCCTGAGAGCAGAGCCCAGGAGAGTGTGTATGTGCCTGTGAGGGGACGGGGCTATGGGTTGCTGACTCCAGGGTCTGGGAGAGCTGGGGTGAAGGCTCACATACCTAAAAAGAAGAGGCTGGGGACCTGAATCTGTGGGTCCCAGAGGAAAGAAGGGATTGTCCATCTAGGTTCCTGGGCCAGAATGCTGGAGACACAAGTGGTTTGAGGTCTCAAGGAAGGGGGCCCACACTCTTGGATCTGAGGGGGGAAGGGGGCTGAGGTTCCAGCCTCCTGGGTCTTAGGGGATGAAGATGCTGAGGGTCCAGACTCCCTGGTCTCAGGGAGGGGCTGGGGGCTGCTTTCTTGTCTTTTGGGTGGATTGGAGCTGGAGGCCCCTGAAAGGCCAGCGTCTGGGTCCCTGTCTAGGATTTTTAAAGCTCACAGACCAGCCACCTGAATCCCTGGCAGTGGCAGAGGCTGGTAGCCGCAGCTGTCACCCTTGCTGAGAAACCTACTGCCTGGAGGAGCAGGCGCCTGCTCTGGGACTTTCAGATCCCATCGACCCCGCAAATTCCTAGCAGGCAGGCTTGGGGCTGGCAGCCTTTAGCGCCGATTCTGCAAGCCGGGAGGTGCGGGATAGGGGGCGCCGGAGAGCCGGAACCCCGCCCTCGGGGCGGAGCCTCCCTCCGGGCTCCTCCCCCTCCCGCCCTCCTCCCTTTTCCCAGCTCCTGCTCGGCCACCAGCTCCGGCCTCGGCTCCCCCTCCCAGAGCCCCCTCCCCGGAGTGGAGCCCACCGGAGGGCCCCTCTCCCGCCCCCCAGCCCAGCCACCCGGCCAGAACATCAGCCCCGGGGGGCAAACCAGCCCAGCCTGCCTCCCACCAGCCCAGCCCTGCCAGACCCCCCCAAAGCATGAATCTCTTCCGATTCCTGGGAGACCTCTCCCACCTCCTAGCCATCATCTTGCTACTGCTCAAAATCTGGAAGTCCCGCTCTTGTGCCGGTGAGACGCCCATGGGGCGGGAGAAGGGGGGAGAGTGCGGAGGACATCCCACGACTCGGGGAAGGGTTTGGAGGCACGAGGGGGACGGGTCTCCCCGCCCATCCCCCCCACTGCTTACAGGGGATCCCCCTTCCAGGTCCGGGGTCACCGGGGGGTCAGTTCCCTTCCGCAGACTCGGGGTGTGTGCAGTTTGGTGGGGGGTGGCTCCAGGCACCCAGTTCAGCTCCCCTTGGCCCTTCGCGGGTGGCCCCGGGATTTCGGGGCTGGGAACCGGGAGCTGTGGCAGGCAGGGAGGTGGCTGGGAGTTGGTGACGTGGACCGTGGCGGCCGGGACGGGAGCGGGAGAGCGGCGACCGGTTCAGGGGCCGAGGTCAAGTGGGGTCCTTCGGAGCCCCCACCTTGCGTCCGGACTGTGGGAGGACCCTGAGGGGCCCGGGAGTGGCCGTGAGGCCTAGCCTGGGACAGAGCCTCGGGCTGGAGTAGCTTCGGGGCCGGGCTGCCCCCTGGCTGTGGGCCGTGGGAAAGGGCCCTGCTCCGGCGGGGAGGGCTGGGGAGGCCTCCAGGGACAGCTGCGCTCCGGGCCGACTCTGGGCCGTCCCCGGCGCTGGGCGGTGGTTGGTTCCTCAGGCAGCCCACTCCCAGCCTACCCCCACTCTCTCTTTGGACCACAGGGATTTCAGGGAAGAGCCAGGTCCTGTTTGCTGTGGTCTTCACTGCCCGGTACCTGGACCTCTTCACCAACTACATCTCACTGTACAACACGTGCATGAAGGTAAAGGCTCTGCCCCTGTGCTGGCCCCTCCTGAAGGGGGAGCCAAGTGAGGGTCCTAGGGAGGAGGGAGTATGGATCCCAAATTTTTGGACCGGAGGGAGGAAGGGGCTGGGATTCCAAACTCCTTGGTCTGAAGGAAGAGGGGATGGGGGTCAGGACTCCAAGGTTTGAGGGAGGAGGGGACTGGGGGTGAAGACTCTGGGATCTGAGGGAGGAGGGGACTGGGAGTGAGGACCTCAGGGTCCGAGGGAGGAGGGGCTGAGAGTGAAGACTCCAGGGTCTGAGGGAGGAGGGGCTGGAGGTGAGGACTCCAAGGTCTGAGGGAGGAGGGGGCTGGGGTCCTGGACTCCTGGGTCTGAGGGAGGAGGGGGCTGAAGGTGAGGACTCAAGGTCTGAGGGAGGAGGGGGCTGAGAGTGGGGACTCCAGGGTCTGAGGGAGGAGGGGGCTGCGGGCCTGGACTCCTGGGTCTGAGGGAGGAGGGGCTGGGGGTGAGGACTCCAGGGGCTGGGGGAGGAGGGGCTGGAGGTGAGGACTCCTGGGTCTGAGGGAGGAGGGGGCCAGAGTTCCAAACTCCTAGGTTCGAATCTTGGGTGCTCAGCTGAAGTGCCCTCCTCATCATCCCCATTGACAGGTGGTCTACATTGCCTGTTCCTTCACCACAGTCTGGATGATTTACAGCAAGTTCAAAGCCACTTATGATGGGAACCATGACACATTCCGAGTGGAGTTCCTCGTTGTTCCCACGGCCATCCTGGCATTCCTGGTCAACCATGACTTTACCCCTCTAGAGGTAGGCTATGTGGCACGGTCCCTGTAGTGGTGGATGGCAGGACAGCTATTGACAGTGGACCCTCTCAAAGGCTTCCTTGTGCAGGTTTTGCTCAGACTTCCTTATTTTATTTTATTATTATTTTTAAAGATTTTATTTATTTGATGGAGGGAGAGGGAGCATGAGCAAGGGGAGGGGCAGAGCAAGAGGCTGACTCCGTGCTGAGCAGGGAGCTTGGTGAGGCTCCATCCCAGGACCCTGGGATCGTGACCTGAGCCGAAGGCAGACAGTTAACCGAGTGAGCCACACAGGCGCCGCCAGACTTCCTTATTTTAGGATACATGAGTTCAGCACACAGGCTTGGGAGGTGGAATGATATTAATGCACTAACAGCAGCACTCACTGCATTCCAGGTGCTGCTCTAAGCATTTTGTGTACATTAACTCATTACTGTGTACAGCAGCCCCACTTTACAGATGAGGGAACTGAGGCTTAGGAAGTTTAAGTGACTTGTCCAAGGTCACTGGCTTCATGAGTAGCTCAAGAATTGGGAATGGGGGCTCTGGGCTCAGGCTACTTGGATTTGAATCCCATATCTGCTACTTTCTATTAGCATGACCTTGGGCATATGACTTGACCTCTCTGTGCCTTGGTTTCCCTATCTGTAAAGTTCCGATCAGTTCATTGTGAGGATTTACTGATCATGTGGCATGATCTCATGGTTAAACATATAGACCGTGGAACCACAGAGCGAGGGTGACTCAAAGCCAGCTTCTACTACTTAGCAGCTGTGAGACTTTGGGCAAGTCTATAATTTTTCTGTAGATTTTTCTTGTCTGTAAAATGGGGCTAATCAGTTCCTACTTCATAAGGTTCTAAAAAGAGGTTCATATTGGTAAAGCACAGTGTCTGGCACTAGGTAGCAAGTACTGTGTCAATGTTAGTTTCATGACTAAAGTTTAATATCATGCTGAAACTTCTAAAAATCATGTTTTTTTTTTTTTCTATGGCATTTTAGTAGCACCTGTACAAACTCCTGGGGTTTTTGAATTTTGAGATGGCCTGTGCTAAGTTTGTGATCTTCTGCAGGAATCAGAAAATCAGAGCAGCCTTCTCTCCCCTGAGCCTCCTCCGGCCTTGTCGGAGTGGCCAGATGTGCTGTTTTCAACAGAGGCCACAATTTAGGACTTATCCTGAAAGATTGTTTGACAAATTTGGCCACATATTCAAAATATCTTTCTTTTTTTTTAAGTTAATTTTTTTTAGTAAGTTCCACATCTAGGGGCACCTGGATAGCTCAGTGGTTGAGCATCTGCCTTTGGCTCAGGGCATGATCCTGGGGTCCTGGGATCGAGTCCTGCATCGGGTTCCTCACAGGCATCATGCTTCTCTCTCTGTGTCTCTTCCTCTCTCTCTGTGTGTGTCTTATGAGTAAATAAATCTTTAAAAAAAAAAAAAAAAACAAACCCAACAACTCCACATCTAAGTGAAGTTCGAACTCACAACCTCGAGATCAAGAGTTGCCTGCTCCTTGGATTGAGTCAGCCAGGCTCCCCTCAAAATATATTTCTTTTTTTTTTTTTTTTTCAAAATATATTTCTAAAACCACTGTGTAGGCCAGACAAATTTGATTGAGGGCACCTTTAGCCCAGGGATGGGAGTGGGAGGCTGCTGTGCTATGGCAGGAACCCTGGCTTGCGTGTAGCCCTGGCCTTTGCAAACATACCATCCTCGTCACTTTTCCGGTGCACTTACCCATTTTGCAGATGTGGAAACAGAGGCTCAGGGAAAGCACAGGGGCTTGTTCTAGATGGAGGTGGCCAGACTGGAACCTAGGACACTTGACTCTAGCTTTTGCAGTTCCCTCATTCAGAGGGAGGAGGTCACTTGTGCAAAGTATTGGCACCCGCTGTGTGTCCAGCTCTGTGCTGGCTATTCTAGATATGTCGTCCTTTCTGACCCCTTGGGCACCCAGGACGCAGACATCCTTATCCCCATTTCTTGGAGCTGAGATGAGGCTCAGAGAGGAGAGCTCACAGGATTGGAACCCAGGTCCACCTGCTTGCAAAGCCCAGGCTATTAATTGGTGCATGCTAAAAAAAAAAATATTAGTGAATCCTAGAAGAAAACTACTCTTTAAGAATTGAGACATCATAGATAAAATAAACGTGATGAAAATGTGACCTTCCATTTCCTCTTACGTCATAATTCTCTTCCTCAAGGGTGACCCCGGGGGTCATAGGTGGGTGTGCATCAATTTAATGAGGGCATTTTTTGAGAGCCTCAATAAACCTGACTTGCTAAGAGCTGTGCTATGGGAGTGATTATGGGAGCAAGCGCTGGAGTCCAGTGCTTGAGTAGGAATCTGCTTCTCCCCATAGTGTAGCTGTGCGACCTCAGGCCTCAGTCTTCTTATTTGTATAATGGGGATAACGATAGGATTCACTTTCTAGGTTTAAGACATAAGCCAGTTAACTACCCATAAGATAGAGCCATGCCTTGGATATGGTAAAGGCTACGTAAGCGTGAGTTGTGAATGCACGCTGATGTTCCCTGCTTTTCTCTCACAAACCAAAACAACTGAGGAGGAGCTCCAACTGCCACGTGGTCTTATTCTCTGAGGGGAGGTTTCAGTGGGTCTACAGACCGGAAGTCACCCCAGGTGGGACTTTCAGGTTGCTGAGGACTGAGAGGATGCGGGTGGTTGTCTAGTCTCTCCTTCCCCCTCCTACGATGCCCTGTCCTGCTCACAAGTGATGACTGTCACTGTTTCCTAAATGGTGGCCAGCAACAGACAAGCACATGGGGAGCTTCACTCACTCGTTCATTCAGGCATTGAATATGTGCCTGGCCCTGTGGCCATGGAGTGAACAAGATATAGGATCCTGGGCCTCATGGAGCTTGCTCTTATTCTGGCAAGAGCTGCTGGGAAGAATAGAGGGGGTGATGTGACAGTCTTAGGGGTAGGACTGGTCAGGGGAGGCCTCTCTCAGAGGTGATGGATGAATGAGGCTGTAAGGAAGTAGAAGAGGCCAAATGTGACATTCTGGGGGAAGAGCTGAGGGAACAGCAAGTGCAAAAGCCCGGGGGCAGGAAAGAGTGTAGTGTATTGAAGGACCAGATAGAAGACTGCATCCCGGAGAGCAAAGTAGCGAGTAAGAGATTAGGCTGGAACGGCCAAAGTTAAGAATCTGGATCTTACTCTGGTTGTGATAAGAAGCAGTGACCAGGAGTGATAGAGCTTGATTTATGTCTCTAAAGATTTCACATTGAATGTCACCCCCCTAAGGGTGGGAAAATCAGCCCCATTTTAGAAATAAGGAAGTGGAGGCTCAGAGAACCTGGGTCTTTTGCCCAAGGTCTCATAGAGGGAAAATCTCAGAGCTGAGATTCCAGCCTGGTCTGCCTTTGGAGGCATGGCTACAAAATGCTCATGAGCACTGCCTCCAAACCCTTGGTTTGAATCGCAGCTGTGTTGCTTCCTAGCCATGTGGTCTCGGACAGATCTCTGAACCTCAGTTTCTTGATCCGTAGAATGGGGATGCCCATGACAGGATCTCCCTCATGGGGTTGATGGTGAGGATTAAATGGGAGGGTACAGGGATGCTCTAGTGGCTCAGCAGTTGAACGTCTACCTTTGGCTCATGTCATGATCCTGGGATCCTGGATTGAGTCTTCCATTGGGTTCCCTGCAGGGAGCCTGCTTCTCCCTCTGCCTGTGTCTCTGCCTCTCTCTCTCCATGTCTCTCATGAATAAATAAATAAAATCTTTAAAAAAAATAAACAGAATATTATCTATAAAAACTTTAAAAAAATAGATGGGAGGGTACATGTGACATGGGCAGGGTGGTGTCTGGCATTCAGTGGGTGCTGGGTCAGCATCGCTGTTCCCGTTCTCTCCACCATCCCCCACCTTCTCTCCTGCCCTGTCCCCTTGTCTCACCCTACTGTCTGCCCCTGCTTCTTGCCCTCCACATAGATCCTCTGGACCTTCTCCATCTACCTGGAGTCGGTAGCCATCCTGCCACAGCTGTTCATGGTGAGCAAGACGGGTGAGGCAGAGACCATCACCAGCCACTACCTGTTTGCTCTGGGCGTCTACCGCACGCTTTATCTCTTCAACTGGATCTGGCGCTACCACTTCGAAGGCTTCTTCGACCTCATTGCCATCGTAGCAGGCCTAGTCCAGACTGTCCTCTACTGCGATTTCTTCTACCTCTACATCACCAAAGGTAGGCAGCATGGAGGGCCGGCTGTAGGGGATCCTGCTCTTTCTCCGGCTCCTGCCCTCCCTGGGGCCAAGTTCCGTCTCCCTAGCCCTGGATCACTCAATGGCGGGAAGGCTTCCTCTCCTAGCTTCTGGGGTCCCAGGCTCACTGCCCTCCTGGGATTTCAGATGTCCAGCCCCTGCCTACCTAAGAACCAAGGCGTTGTTCTCCTAGGCCCTGCATCCCTGAGGAAAGAGCGGCGAGGCACAGGGGGCTGTCTGCTTGCAAAGCAGCTTCCTCCTTTGACCACTCAGAGCTGGCAACCCTCTTCCCAGCCCCTGGGCATTTGAGACAGGACAAAGAGAGAGCAGGAGTGGCCTCTGACTTTCCCTCTCTCAGATTCTGTCCTAGGCCCTCCCGCTCTGAGGTTCCAGATCCCATAAAAAGCAATTCCTATCTCCCCGACCCCAGCAGCACTCAGAGAAGGAACGGCCTCCTCTCTGCTGCTTGGTCTCTGTCCTCCCCTCAGAGACTCAGGCCCATCAAGATTCATTCATTCAACCAACTAACCAACCAATGTGTTCAGTACTTTCTGTGTCCCTGGCCAGACTCTAGGGCTGCAGCAGAAGGAAAAGGTGGCCCTCCCGTCCCCTGTGTTCTAGTAGGGGGTGATGGTGAATGAACAAGGAGAGAGAGATGGTTGCAAACAGCAGGAAGAGCTCAGAGAAACCACGGATATGTCAGCGAACAATCAGGGAGGGTGAGGGGGCTGCTTTACATGGGGGATGCTCTGAGGAGGTGGTGGGAAGCAGGGAGCTGAGACATGAGGAGTCGGTCAGTGTGAAGGAAAGAAGGGAGGACGCCTGGGTGGCTCAGTGGTTGACTGTCTGCCTTTGGCTCAGGTTATGAGCCCAGGGTCCTGGGATCGAGTCCTGCATCAGGCTCTGCACAAGGAGCCTGCTTGTCCCTCTGCCTGTGTCTCTGCCTATCTCTCTCTCTGTCTCTCATGAATAAATACATAAAATCTTTAAAAAAAAGAAAAGAAAGAAAAAAAGAAGAGGCAGTAAGAGCAGAGCAGAGTGTGGAGGCAGCCTGTGGCCTCTCTGGATTGAGGCTGGGAGGGTGGGAGAGGTGGTGGCACCTGGCCAGCCCTACTGGGCCCTTGGACCCTATCCTTCTGAGACCTGGAACCCAAATGTCTTTTGAGGGTGGTTGGGGAAGCTGGCACTAGAAAAAATGCAGTGCCTCTTCCCTGTTTGCCTAGCTCACCCCTGGGCAATTCAGGCCTGTCCTCCCAGCTATGATCCAGGGTCCTGCGGCTGACCCTCCAGGATGCCCCGCCAGCCCAGCGTCCAAGTGGGTGTGGGAGGTCATCCCTGCTGCAGGGCCCCTTGGTAATGTCCACTCCCTCTGTCTCCTTGCAGTCCTGAAGGGGAAGAAGCTGAGTTTGCCGGCGTAGCCCTGGGCTCGGCCATCCCTCTCCTCGGCAGCCCGAGAGACGCAGAGGAAGGCAGCGAAAGACGAAGAGCCTTCCCTTCCCGTCCAGGGGTGACTTTTTAAAGAACCAACCTCTCCGCACTCCCCAGCCCCCCTCCTGCCAGGTTTCAGGGGGGTGGTGGAGGACCCAAGTCTTGGGGAGCTCAGGACCTGGGGTGTTTGTAGTTTTTTGCCTTTTAAAAAAGAAAAAAAAATCTTTCCACTATTTAGTTTTTGATTCTGATGACTCCTTTCTCTTCTACTCTCTGGCCCCCAATTTTTATAAACTGTTTTTGAGTGTCCCATGGGGAAGGGTAGCATATCTTTGCCCTCCTCCAAGCCGCTCGGCTCCCTCCCAGATCCTACCCTCCAGCCTCGCCAGTTGCCAAACACTAAATCTGCAGACACTCACCTGTCTGACCTCCCACCATGGCCATGAACACAGCCTCCCCCACAAAACCCCCCCTCAAAGTTCAGGATTGGGGAGAGGGAGGAGGGGAGGAACAGTCTCCCTGATTTTTCAATATAATTTTTTTCCAGAGTTTGGGTTTTTTGGGCTTATCCTAATTTTTTGACAATTTAGGGGGGACGAGGGGCCGGGCATGGCAAGGGGGTTGGCCTGAGGGTCACCATTTGGCTCAATAGCCACGTTTTTGTACAGAATTGATGGTTGATTCTTTGTTCTCTTGAAATAAACCGAGGAAAATGATGCCTCTTTCGCTACTCCTTGCCCTCTCTCTGGTGTTTGTGGGGTCCCTCCTCACCCTTCCCTCGGCTTCTGCTTTATCCCATTGACTGGCCTGCCAGCAACCAAGTCCTGGGAGGAGCAGGAAGGTGAGAAACTGGGTTCCCTAGGACTCAGAGCGCCACCCTCCTCACAGCTGTGCTGGGGAAGAGGTTTCAGAAAAAAAAAAAAAAAGTCTTGAAGATTCTCTTTATCTTGGCACAGAACTTCCCTGGCTGTTCTCCCGAATCCCAGGGTGGCAGAGGACTTTCAAGAGCATGTTTTAGAGGTCACCAATGGGCAGCCCCCGTCCTACCCTCATTTGGCATTTTGCTGAGCCATTACAAATAAATAATAAATAAATAAATAAATAAATAAATAAATAAATAAATAAATAAATAAATAAAATCTGTTGCCAGCTTTTAAAAATCAGATTTTCACATTGAAATCTGGATTTCTGGCTTCTCTTGGGGAAAAAAAAAAAATCTGTCAATCTGACAATGTGGGTCCTCGCTTCCGGGTGGCAACAGATGGCTGGAGCTGAATGGATGGGGTGTGAGCCTTCCATCACAATCCCCAGGACTTGGCTGAGGGGTTGCTACCATTCATTATCTGGCTGGTGCTGTGATTTTGTTTTTGTTTCATGCAGTTAAAAACACAGTATTTTCCACGTCTCCCTCTGGACTGGCTTCACACCTGGCTGGTTTCCTTCACTTGCCTTACCTGCCTGGACTTTGTCAGCCTTTGGAGTTTTGCCCCCTGGTGTAGGCAGACTCGCTAGATGACCCCCAAAGACCTTCTCGAACCATGTTCGGTTCTGTAGGATGGCTCTGGAAGCTTTAGGAGGTGGGTAGCTGGTGTTTGCCTAGCATGAGTACCAGCCAGCGTGTATGTTATGTGGATGAGTTCTCTGGACCCTTACAGCACCCCCAAAGGGGGGGTACTTTGTGGAGGAGGAAACCAATGCGTAGGGGCAAGTGAGTGGCAGAGCTGGCGTTTGTACCTGGGCTTCCTGATGCTGCAGCCTATGTGTTTCGCCACCGCTGTGTGGATTTTCAACTGTTTTTGTTTCTCTCTTTTTTGTAAGCCAAAGCACCTTCCACTTACGGGAATTTACCCAGAAGCCTGATAGGGAAAACGCAGAAACAGGGCTGCTTGGGTTGATTCGTGATGGGGTGGTGGCACCTCTCTGTATGCAGTCTGAAAACCATCAATCTAAATCTGGTCCGAGTCTTTAGTTTTCCGGCCAAGACAGCTTGGCCCAAAGAAATTAAGTGCCACATCCCAGCTTATCCATCTAGACAGAGTGAGGATAAGTGCTTGGGATCTTCCTGTTTCAAACATCAGAGCACTGCCCACTCCACTGCCCTGCTGCTCTTTCCCTAGATGCCCACAGGGACCACATCCTATTTATTTTTGTAACTTCAGTCCCGAGCATGGGGCCTGCCACCCAGGAAACCTCAAAAAAAAAAAAGGTTGCGGGGGACCATAGAATCCACATGTGACCCCCCCACACAACTAGTATCCCTTTGTCCAGTTTGTAAATGAATGCTCTGCAGGCCACAGGGGCCCTCCTGTGGGTGTGTTTTGTTTGGCCTGCATAACATTAACATTTTTTCTTGCTCTACCCGTTGCCAAAGAACTCCACATAAAAAGAAAGGGGTTTCTGATTGTTCTGGAAAAGCCAGAAGGCTCTAGAGCTCGGCTGCCCAATACTGTAGGCATTAGCTCCACGCTTGAATTGTGGTGGGTCTTAAGCTGTGGTGTCTGTGCATTTCAGAATTTTCATAGGAAAGAATGTAAGAGAGACCTCAATTTTTATATTGATGACATGTTGAAATAAACTAAATGATCATATTTTGGATATATTGGGTTAAATAAAATATGTGAAAATTAATTTCAATTGTTTCATCCTACTTTCCTTAATGTGGCTGCTAGAAGGTTTCATATTCTGGCCCTCACTGCCCCCTGGCTTGCATTACATTTTAATTGCACAGCGCTGCCCTAAGGCACTTGAGGCCCGTGGTGCTGAATGGTGGGTGCTGAGTGAAGGCTGCCACTCCCAGACACCCCCTGTCCCCACTACTCCCTTAAAGAGTGCTTCACTCACTGGGGTCTCCTGTCGGCCTGGGCACAAGTCCCCACTTGCCTTCTGCGTTCTAGAATAAAATCCTTTCTTCTTTCCCCAAGGCAGCCTCATAAATATTTGCAGACAGGAGTCTCCCCTGTTCTCATTTACGGACTCACCATCCCCTGTTCCTTGGTTTTGAGTTGGGTCCCTTGTCACTGGGGTGAGTGGAAGGGCTGCTCCCAGTGTTTATTGGCCCTGCTTCCTCCCTAGTACTCTCTCCACAGGCAGAAGCGTTTTCTCTTTCTCTGAACACTAGCTTACTTGACTGCATTGGAGTGCCTCGTGCCTCCTTCCTACTGCCCGTGTGAGGATTGAAGGGGCCACAAGGAATGTCCCCTTCCTGTCACTGGGGTGTGCTATCATCACATTGGTACCCAGATGGAGAGTCCAAGAGGTGGTGTGGAAAGGTGGCCCACTGCAGAGACTCTGAGGCGACCTCAGGATCTCTCCCCACCCCTGGCCACTCCAAAGAGGAACAGACATGAGAAGGACAGAGGGCTGTTTTCAGAAACCTTTCTGGAGGGAGGATTATCTCTTTACTGATGTAGAGGAGGATGTTCAGTTGTCAGGCATCATAGCGAGGCGGGGGGCCTTCGGAGTGGTCAGATAGGGGGACGGGGCAGAACCAGCATAACTCAGGTTGTTGGGGCCAGTGGTGGGCGTGTTCACAGGGCTGGTGGCAGAGGGCGGGGAGAGGGTGGTCAACACTACGCCACCCTCATCCAGGGAGCGCTTGTAAGGGACTGGAGTATCATTCCGGAGGTCCTGGAGGGCCAGGTAGGCCTGGAAAATCTGTGGGCAGGAAAGGGCATGCCAAAGGCTGGCTTGGGTTAGGGGAGAGAGGGACTGGGGCTGGGGACTGGTCCAGGAGGGGGACAACGGGTACGGTTGTGCTCACTGCTCGCTGGACAAGGGCGCACAGCATGATTCCTAAGGCTGGGCTGCATCTGCTCACCCTAAGGGGAGCCTTCTTTCCAATTTGCCCCATCCCAGAAGGAGCTAGCAGAGGCCCTGGGCGGAGCCATCCCTCACTCCCGGAGGAGCTGAGAGCGGGAATGTTCTAGCCCCCCAACCCCACCCTGCAGAGGGGACCCATCCTCACCCAGGTGAAGATGGAGAAGAAAGCGAAGGTGATGGCGGCCTTGGCACTGCTGCTTCCCAGGAGGAACCCTTTGGGTGGTGAATGCTGCCACTGGTTGGCCAGGAAGCAGAAGCCCACGAACCAGATGCCTATCCACAGGACTGGCGGTTGCAAGAGAGAAGAGGGACAGGGGTAGCCTGGCTCAGGAAGGGTGAGGCTGGAGGCTGGCTGAGGGGTCTCTCCCTCCATGCCCTCCATAAAGTACACTGCTGGAGTGCAGGTGGGCTGTCCACTACGGGAGCCACTGGCCACATGTGGCCATCTGCATATCAGTTAATTAAAATAGGATTTAAAAATGCAGGTTGCACTGGCCACCCTTCAAGTGCTTGGTGGCCACGTGTGGCCAGTGGCTCCCATAATTGGGGAATGTGGCTATGGAACATTTCTGTCTTCACAGAAAGTTCTTTTGGATGGCCCTGGAGTCAACAGCCTTTGAGGGCCCTCCCAGCCCTGGAACGCTGGGGTTGGCCTGGTGCAGAGGGTGAGGAGGAGGTGGGGATAGTTAACATCAGACTGCGAGGAGGGAACCCCAGGTCCTGGGGCAAAGGAACTCAGTTATTTGGTGCTTACTGTGTGCCAGTCTCTATCTAGAGTACTGGGCAGTGGTTAGGAGGCAAGACTTTGTTCTGAAGCCTGGGATTGCCAATCAGCAGCTGTGTGCCCAATTATATAATCTCATCAAGCCTGTTTCCTCTTCTGCAAAATGGGGAGAGGAGCAGGACTTTCCTCCTCAGGTGGGTCTGGGGAATCAATGAGACCAGGCACATGGAGCCCCTGGCTCTGGGCCTGACATGTGGGAAGTGCCCGGAGAAGGTCAACGTTACTCCAGGCCTCCTTTCTCTCATTTCGTGCTCAGAAAAAGTCCTGCATTGTGGGGGTTTTCATCCCAGCTTCTACTGAAGCTCAGAGAGGGGAAGAGAGCCGCTTGAGCCCACGGGGCGACCAGGCGCCTGAGTTGAGATTTCAAACTCCCGTTGGCCTGGCTCTGTGCTGGAACCCCACCTCCCCCCACCGGGTGGCTTTTCAAGAAATGTTCTGTGAAGAAGGGAGGTGAATGTGAGGAAAAAGCAGGGCAGAAGGGAGGCTTCTAGAATTAGCCTGGGGGTCAGAAGAGGTGACCCTTACACTGAGTCTAAAGGATGAGTAATAATTCCCTGGGGGGAAACAGCAGGTGCAGAAGTGCTTCCAGAAGGGAGGGGTGAGGCTTCAGGTCACGTGTGGAGGACGGTGGGCCAGCTGGGTGGCGAAGGGAGGTGTCCCAGGGGCCCCCAGGGGCCTCCAGGGGCTAAAGGGGCAGCTCTGGGTGGGTCATCCCCGGGGTGGGGAGTTGGTGCTCACCAGCCAGGATGAAGTCCAGGAGCTGGAAGGCCGTCTTGAAGCGGGTGCTGCCGATGCGGCTCTCGTGGGCATCCAGGGCGAGGAAGGTCAGGCAGCTGAAGAAAGCCAGGAGGCCAGCTCCTACGGTGAAGCTGCAGGCCACCTTGTTGCCATTGAGGACGCAGTGGAGCTTTGAGGACTCGGTCTTGTTCTGGTAGCCATCGGTCAACAGGGAGGAGAAGACGATGAGGGAGAAGACCTGTGGGTGCAGGAGGGGGGAATCCAATCCCAGTGGGCCAGAGCAGAGCTGTGTCCACAGAACCTGCACAACCCCCTGGGTCCCTGTCTGGGAACACTGGGCCCTGTACCTCACCCTGTCACCCTGTCAGCAGGGCTTCTAAGCTTATCCCTCCTAAAGCTCCTCACCTCCTCTCTCCATCCTGGTTCAGGTCTCATCCTCTCCCCACCACTGGATCCTCCTCCCTGGCCTCCCTGCCTCCAGTCTTCACCCCTCTGCCTATCTCCCACAAGCCTCCACAGAGGTCCTTCCACACCCTGCCCTCCTGCACTTTTCCATCTTCGTCTCTCTCTCTCCACTCCCTGCCTCCCTCCCCCACCTCATCCATGCTCCCCTTCTGCCACCCCAAACAAGTACCTGCCACCAAACCCAGGTGCCCATACAAAATAGTTAGCAGTGCCTGGGGCGTGTGAGGAGGTCCAGAAGCATTTGTCACCCCTGTGATGATCTCTGCCTGCCAGGCCTTTCCCTAGGCCTGCCATTTCTTCCTCTTCCCTCCCCACTCCCCTTGTTCCTCTCAACTTGTTAAAATAAATTTGTGAAGCATTTCAAACACACACAAGTACAGTCAGAGATGTAGCATTCAGTACCTAACGAACATTACCATTTTTCATTTTTCCCCTCCCCCCCTTTTTTCCCCAGGACTTTTTATTTTTTATTTTTTTTAATTTTTTAAAAATTTATTTATGATAGTCACAGAGAGAGAGAGGCAGAGACACAGGCAGAGGGAGAAGCAGGCTCCATGCACCAGGAGCCCGATGTGGGATTCGATCCCAGGTCTTCCAGGATCGCGCCCTGGGCCAAAGGCAGGCGCCAAACCGCTGTGCCACCCAGGGATCCCTCCCCAGGACTTTTTAAAAAAGCAAATACAACATCCCTGATACACTAGCTTCTCACCTGTGCCTGCTGCAGACAGCACACTGTAGTGTCACAGTCTGTGTCTCCACTTGTCTTCTATGGCATTTATTTATGAAATGCCATGCAGGCACTTCACACCTGAACCATCCTTGCAGCCACCCTAAGAGGGGGGTTACTACTAACAGCCCCATTTCTTTAGAAAATGGAACCAAGGCCCAGGGAGGCTGAGGAGTTGCCCCAAACCAATGGGCTGGTAGGTGCCGGAGCCTGGATTTGAACAGAAGCTGCCTAACTCTTGAGCCCACTTTAAGGCCCTGTTATACTGCCACAAGCTGAACCAGACGCCTGGAGAGCAGGGGTTCCTAGCGGTGCCACTCAGTGAAAATGTTAAGCTCCATGCTTTGCCCCAGACAGTCACCATACAGTGGGGCAAGGTCCATGCCAGATACAGAAGGGACTAACGTGTATGAGGTGGGCGGTGGGAGTTGCCACAGGGAGGCTTTCTGTATGAGGTGATGGCTGTATGGAGTAGTACAGGACAATAAGGTTGTCTGGAGGGCAAATAGGGAGCCACAGCAGAGCTGTGAGTAGGGGAAGACAGGGGCAGATCTGAGGCCTTGGGTAGAGATAGACTGGAGGGGGTGAGTCTGGAGGTCAGAAGGCCAGGGAGGAGGCTGCAGCCTGGGGTCTGGGAGAGAGTTGAGGTTTGAGCCAGAACCATAGCTCTGGGGCTGGATTCAGGAGGAAATAAGGTGAGGCCTGAATTGCATGTTAAAGAATGAGGAGTTTGTCGGGCAGATAGGGGAGGGAGGGCATTCCAGGGAGGTGTAAACTGTGTTTGCAAAAGCCAGATGCTGCAGAAGGGGGCTCCTTCGGGGACTGGAGAGAAATCTCACCCGAGGGATGGAGTGTGAGATGAGGCTGGAAAAGTAGGTGGGAGCCAGAGCCTCAGAGGCCTTGGACACCAGATGGAGAGGCCTGGATTTGGGAGCCATGGAAAGTGAAATTTCTTACTTGGATTTAACTTCAGGCACGGAAGGGTTCTGAGCAGAGGGTGGCCGGGGTTAAACTTGGCCCTGGAGTCAGACACAATATCTAGGGTCGCGATGGATCAGAGGGGGCAAGACCAGAGGCCGAAAGACCAGAGAGGGGATTGGTGGGAAGGCCTGGGCAGAAATGTGGAGACCTGAGCTGAGGTCAGAGCTCTGGGGAGTCCAGTGATATTTAGGACGTAAAATTGGACTTGGTGATTGATTGGATGTGGCGGTGTTGGGGACGGGAGTGGGGGAGTAGGTGAGAGGAAGGAATTCACTAGAATTTGAACTCCACCTGGATAGGGACTGCTTTTCTCTTTTCCCACCACCAGCTTGGACCTCAGCCAATGTGTGTTGCTCTTGCCCTGCCCTTCAGATGAGGATGGAGGAGGCAAATGTTTGGCCCCTAAACTCCTCAGCTTCTGTCCATCCCCCTCCATCCTTCCCCTTAATTGCCTTCTCTCAATAAAAATCATAACATAACAATGACAAGGAGTCCCTTTTTTGTCTGGCACTTTAACATTCTCCAAGGCTGTCCACATCCATCCCCTGTTTTGGAGCTAGGAGTCCACATAAGGGGAGCATTTTGCTCTGCTGCTTGGGGACAGAGCCAGGTCGAGGACTGGAAGGCCCATCCATCATTTGAGCCTGTATCCATTTTACCTGCCCTACCTCCCTCGCACCAGCCCCACGTGGTAGATGTTACTGATTCATTTCTGTTTCACAGGTGATAAATCGAAGCCATTATGGTGGAGTGGAAAGAGCCAGACGCGTCTGACTCTGCCAGCTGTGTGGCCATGGGCAAATCATTCACCTCTTGGAACCTCAGTTTCCCAGTCTGTCTCTGTGCTGTGAAGAGGGGGTGGGGCCAAGGCCTGATGGTAGTTCTCATGATTGGCCCAGAGAGGGGATGCATCCTCTCAAGGTCAGCGAAGGAGGTGGGGACTGGGATCCGGTTCTCCTGACTTCCGGGCCTGTGGGCTGTCCGTCCACCGACCCTGAAAACCTTGGGCTGCTTGCCTGAACCCTGGGCATTGGAAACTCAGGGAGGGGGCTCAGCTGGGCTGGAGGGACCCGAGCCCTCTGAAGCCAGAGTCCAACCTCCTTCCACGCCCTCCTTGGCCCATCCCCAGGGAAGGAGCAAAGATTCATCAGTTAAGACACCAGCTGGCAGGCGGCAGTGAGAAGGACAAGAGCACCAGCTGCCCAGAGACTCCCTACTGAGGAGCCAGGCCAGGGGGGAAGGAGGAGAGGGCAGGGAGGGAGGGAGGATGGAGGCGGCGGGCAGAGTCCGTGACCAAAACGTCTGGCACAGTCCGTGGCCCTTCCCTCCCCCTTCCCCACGCCACTCCACGCCAGCTGGGCCTCCTCCTCCCCCCACGACCCGCTTTTCCTTCCAGAGCCTTGGAGGTGTGAGAATCTTTTGACTTGCCCGCCAGCTGGGTGACGTCCTTGGGCAAGTCACTCAACCTCTGCGAACCTCAGCTTCCCCTTGGGTCAAACAGAGGTAGCCATGTTCATGTCATAGGGTTGTGGTGAGGAGCAGAAGGGCTAACTGCCCGTGAGGGACTCGGAACCTGGATGTGGAATTCCTAATTCCCCCCTTCCCCTGGGGGAGAACACAAGTGCCCCTCACCCTCAGTCCCCCAAATTCAAAGCGCGATTAATACCTTCCAGGTTCACGCTTATCAGTTTAGGGGCATTAACTGGTTTCACTTTCAGAACGGTCTTTCCTACAAGCAGGGCCTCTTATACGCAAGGCTATAGAGGTTCAGAGAAATCAAGTCATTTCCTCAAGGTCATGCAGACATAGGGTGACTGGGTACGTTATCCAACAAAATGTGGCATTTTTGGGAAGGAAAGGTGGCAATCCCGCTGATTCAATTAGGCCCAGGCCAGGCAAAGCGGGCAGTGTGCCACCCTATGTGGGCAGCATGGTGCTGAGCCAGGATTCTAAGCCAGGCCCTTTGGATCCTTCTCCATCCACAGGTTCCAGAAGGGGTTGGAAGGAGAGGCTCTGGCTTAGGACCCTGGATCTGATTCATCTACTCCCATGACCCCAGTCAAGTCTCATCATCTCCCTGGCCCTCAGTTTCCAGCTCTGTCAAAGGAGAGTAGTGGAGGTGGCACAGCACAAAGCCCAGACTTTGGGCAGCCCGGGTGGCTCAGCGGTTTAGCGCTGCCTTCAGCCCAGGGCATGATCCTGGAGACCCGGGATCGAGTCTCACATTGGGCTCCCTGCATGGAGCCTGCTTCTCCCTGGGCCTGTGTCTTTGCCTCTCTCTCTCTCTCTCTCTCTCTCTCTCTCTCTCTCTGTGTCTTTCATAAATAAATAAAATCTTTTTTTAAAATTTTTAAAAATTTATTTATGATAGTCACACAGAGAGAGAGACAGAGAGGCAGAGACACAGGCAGAGGGAGAAGCAGGCTCCATGCACCAGGAGCCCGACGTGGGATTCGATCCCGGGTCTCCAGGATCGTGCCCTGGGCCAAAGGCAGGCGCTAAACCGCTGCGCCACCCAGGGATCCCTAAATAAATAAAATCTTAAAAAAAAAAAAAAAAGCCCAGACTTCCCCCTGACTCCCTCCACACTGTGTCTGAGAGGGGAGAACTGCTATTTCCTGTCACCCATGGGGCAGTCAGCCCCACAGGAGGGCCTTACCCCTGCAAAGATCCGGGTGATTGTCTTTGGTCTCTTCAGAAACTGCACAGCTTCACTATCAGCCAGGTCCTGGAGGCTTTCAGGGATGTGCATGGCGGCTGCTTCTGGGTCCCTGGGGGGCGGGAGGGGGGATGCTGGGTGCTGCCTGCTGGGTGCCGCTGTCCAGAGGCTCCAGGCCCGCCCTGGGCTCGGCTGCTGCAAGACAAGACGGATGGTGGGAGGTCAGAGTCAGAGGCGTGCGGTGAAGGAGCTGCCAGGGGTCCCAGGAAGAGGGGCACGGGGTAGAGGGTACTGGAGGGTCCCAGGAATGAGGTTGTGTGGGGTCTACCAGGGTTCTGAGGAGTTGGGGCTTGGGGGTGAAGGGGCTGCTGGGGGTCCCAGAGGTGGGGGTGCAGGGCGAGAGGGTGGCTGAGGGTCCCATGAATGAGGTGAAGGGGAAGGGAGCTTCTGAGAATTCCAAAGATGGGGACACGATGTGAAGGGGCTGCTGGGGCTCCCAGGAATGGGAGTCCCAGGGGTCAGGAACGCAGGCTGAGGAGGCTGTCGGCTGAGGGGGCTGCCCGGGTACCCGGAGGTGGAGGTGCAGGGCGAGGGGATCCCAGACCGGGGAGAAGGCGTGCGGAGAAGGCTGGGAGACTGGGGTCACATCCTTGACCCGGGAGCCGGGAGGTCATTCTGAGGACTATGTGCTCTGGGTGGGAAGTCTAGAGAAGGATCTTCCAGGGACAAGGGGGTGCCAGAATGTAGACCAGAACCCCTGGAAGGTCTGAGCCAGAGGAATCCCTTCCAAGGTGCTGACAGCCCCCATAATGAAGAACCCAGGGGTGTCAGGGTGTATTTTTAGGCTGGCCTCGTGGTTTGGGGTTATTTTCTTAGGATAAGGGCCTCCCCTTAGTATTCAAGTCCATCTTCCTAAGAGTGCATTTCCTCAAGCTGGGGGGTCTGGACCTCAGATGTGCGGGGAACACGGTCTCAGAACTGAGCTCTCCCCTCAGAATTAGGAGGTCAGGCCGCAGGCACCAGGCTACCTTCTTAGAATCGGAGTCTTCCCTTTAAGGACCTGGGATGGGGGTGGTGGGGCTTGGGGGTGATGCTGTCTGACAAAGGGCCACCCCTACTCTGGAGGCCCAGTCTGCGTCACCTGGAGGCCGGCTCTTCCTTCCGCCCACCCTCCCCTCCTGGTCTCTGGCGCCACCTCAGCCTCCTTTTGGTTCCGCTTTTTCCCGCCTTTTCGCTCCTCCACAGATGATTGGCTGCGTCCAAGTCCCGCCCCGCCCTTTCCCCGCCTACTCGGGAGCTGACACGAGTGGGGGCGTGGCCTCAGCGGACGTTGGGCCGCCCGCCGTTGGCTGGCTGCGCGCGGGAGCTCTGCCCCGCTCCAGTCCTCCCGGGAGTCTCGCGCCCGCTCCGCCCCCTTCCCTTTGAAGCTCGCGGACGAGGAGACACTTCCGCAGCGCATGCGCTGCGCTCAAACAAGGGGAGAGAAGAAAGGCTGGAAGATTGCGCACGCGCAGTTGAGACAGCGCGTTAGGGGAAAGATGGCGTTCGGTGACCCAGGCTTTGCGCGCATGCGTCTTACTGCAGGCTGAAGCCGAACCTTAGGGACCCAGGACGCCTTCCTACACATGCGCAGGAGGCTCAATGACAGTCGAGCGTTGGCTAAGGTGAGGGAGAGGGCGGAGGTTTGCATGGCCGGGGGAGGGCCGCCTTGCACCCCCTAGGTAGTCTTTCCGACCATCTCCTATGCTCCTCAGATCCACCTGCCGCCTAGACCCCTCAGAAGCCCATTGTACCACTGCAGGGTCTCTGGGCCCGAAAAACGCCCCAGGATTCAAGACTAATGACCCCTGCTTGGGGCGCCGGCCAAAATGAGCATTGTGGGAGGGCACCAAGGCAAGACGGGCTGCAAGATGGGCAGATGGGCTCGGCGCCCTGCCCGGGGCAGGGACAGCCCCTGGAGGTGGAGAGGGTGCGTTTCCTTTAAATGGCCTTTGACCCTTGTCCTTTTCCCTCGTTCAGGCTCCAGGGGAAGGGTCTGGCCATGCTGCATGTGACCCGGGGGGTCTGGGAATCCAGGGTCCGAGTATGGTCCCTGTTGCCCACGCTCCCCGGGCCCCCCCGGGCCCTGTCGTCACTGGCGACCAAGATGGGGGAGTACCGCAAGATGTGGAACCCCACGGAGCCCCGAGACTGGGCCCAGCAGTACCGCGAGCGGTTCATCCCGTTCTCCAAGGAGCAGCTGCTCCGCCTCCTAATACAGGTACCTCCGGTCCCGGGTCCAAAAGCCGGGGGACTACGACTCCCGGCAGGCATCGCGGCGGCACAGCCCTGCGTGCTATAGAAGGCTGTTCCGGTGCCTCCTGGGAGTTGTAGTTCCTTTTCCTCTTCTCCCAGGTGGGCGTGGCGTTGGACTGCAGGGACAGACCTGTGAGATGCTGATGTAGCAGCAATTCTGGATTTGTTCTGGGAGCTTGAACAACCCTCTCTGGGGCATGGTTTTGTCTCTGCAAAATGGCAGAATAATTATTCTTATCATAACTATTACTACTACTTAGTAATAATTATGCCAGCGAAGATGTAATCATAATTATCACATTGTTTGAGCTCTTATTGTATGGCACAGTGCTAAGCATTTTCCATGCCTTGTTGAATCTTCAGAACAACGCAGTAAGAGAGAGACTACTATTGTTCCCATTTTACAAATGAGGTGACTGAAGCAAGAGGAGAAAGAAAGTTACTTACTCAAGGCCATGTTGTTGTGGCCCAAGTTAGAACACAAATGGTCTGACTCCAGAGGAAGGCAGCAACTATGGTCTCTGATGAGGCGTTAGGCACCTGCTCTACTCTGAAAGTCATGATCTGACACCAGAGCTAAGCTCTTAACCGACTATCATCATCCTACTTGTCATTATTGAGGATTATTGTTCCTTTAAAAATCATTTATTGACCACCTCTGTATGTACTAAGTAAGACCTGTGCTAGACTTTATCCACAAGCACACACGTAGATATTGACACACATACACAAACACACAGGTATGTATATGAACACAGAATTGCATCAAATTCTCACCATCACTCTCTGAGAAAGAGGGTATGATCCTCTGTTGCTGATAAGGGGAGAGGTCCAGAGAGATGAAGACATTCACTTAGAGCACCAAGATGGGAAGCATAAAGAGGCGATTAAATATGTGTGTTCTGGAGTCAGGTAGGTCTGGATTAGAGTCTCAGCTTCTCTTTATACAAACATTGTGGCCCTCAGCAAGCGACTTCCCCTGAGCCTCAGTTTCTCTTTCTGAAAAGTGGGTGTGATAATTCCATCTCTGTACAGCCTCTGGAGAAAAATATGCCAACAAACAGAGGCTGGTACACAATAAGCATTGTGTGAATGTCAGCGAGTGAGTGTCAAAGTGGGAACTTGATCTTCTAGCTCTTTCCATTGTCTGTTTTCTGCTACACTGGGCTGGCTCAGTTTCTTGGTCAGTAAAATTGGCTGTCCCCCACCCCAAGCAAAACAAGATCTTAAAAAGCCTCGGGCATATGGACTGCCAGAGAAAGAAATCCTCCCCAAAAGGAGGGGGAAAGAAGTCTAAAGAGAAGTTTTGCTTCCTGAGGTAACAGGAATTCCACTCCAGCCCTGCGGAGAAGGCAGCTTTGGAGGATTTTGCAGCCCACGTGGACTTCTGCACCTTGTTCCACTACCACCACACCCTGGCCCGGCTGCAGGTGAGGACCAGGCCCCTTGAACCTTGATGTGCTTGTTAGCTTATCCATTCATTCAGTAAAAATCTTCTGAGCGTCTACTTGGAACCCGGCCCTCTTTTAAGCATGGGGGATGCAGCAGTAAGTGGAACAGATGAAGCCACGTCCTTGTGAAGCAGGCACCCGGTTGGGGAGATAGGTAGGTAGGTAGGTAGGTAGGTAGGTAGGTAGATAGATAGATAGATAGATAGATAGATAGATAGATAGATAGATAGATATAAAATGGAATGCCCCAGAGCCATAAGTGCTGTGAAGAGCAATGGAGCATAGTAGCAGGATAGAGCAGGATGACATGAGGGCTTGTTTTAGGGTGATCAGGGAAGGCTTCTCTGAGGAGGTGACAGGTGATTTAAGACCTGAGTAAGGACAGAACCCAATGGATATCTGGTGACAGGGGTGGGGGTGGGGGAGGTAGGCACATTTCAGGTGGAGGGAAAAGCGAATGCAAAGGCCCTGGGGTACATATGGAGAGTTGGAAGAATGGGGAAGGGAGCACTGTGGCTGGAGGGGTGTGAGTGAGGGAGAGAGGGATTGAGGGTACACTGTTGTCTGGCCCTGTGGGCAGTGGTGAGGACTCCGCTTTGACTTTAAGTTAGCTGAGAGCCACAGGAGAGCTCTGTGCAGAGGAGGGATGTGTGCTGATTTAGGTGTTAATAGGAACCTTCTGGAACAGACTGTCAGAGGCAGGGAGATCTATTCAGAGTCAATTATGTTTGTCCAGGTGAGGGATAATGGCAGCCCCAGCAAGAGTAATAGCAGTGGAAGTGGGGAAAAGCGGTCAGACGCTGGTAATGGTTGGAAGGGATCAGCATTTGGCTGTGCGGGAGGGCAATGAGGGAAAGGAAGAAGTCAGGGGGTGCCTCCAGCAGTTAGGGCCTGCTCCTCTGGAAGAATGGAACTGCCATTTGCTGAGATGTGGAAGACATGGCGGGGGCGGGAGGCAGATCTGTGGGGAAGACGTGAGCTCAGTTTTGCACTTGGGAACCTGAGATGCTTATTAGACAGCCAGGTGGAGAGATGGCGGCTAATAGGGGTTCTGGAGGTCGTGGGAGGGGTCTGGGCTGAGCAGCAGCCCCTGGGAGCATATAAACGGTACTAAATGAGATCATCAGGGGAATTAGCTGAGCCCTGGGACATGCTAGCCTTGAGATCAGGAAGGGGAACTGGAACCCGTGAGGGGGACAGCCAAGGAGCAGCCAGAAAGAGAAGTGGAACCCCAGGAAAGAGTAATGTTGGCAAGCCACATTCTCCACATCCTCCTTCCCCTCTTGGGATCCTGGCTGTGTCGGATCAGTGATCAGCCTCAGTGATTTTCTGTGCAGGACTCACAGAGCTCAGAAAAGCTGTAATGCTCACAGTAATAGTTTATTACAACAAAAGGATAGTGAACAAAATTAGTAAAGGAAAAAGGCCAGGAAATGGGGTCCAGGAGAGGCCAGGCAAGCTTCCTGTTGTCTCTCTTAGAGGAGTCTTGCAAGATGACACTTAGTTCTCTTGTCAGTGAGGTGTGCCAGCATGCATGGAGTATTGCCCAGGGAAACTCACTGAAGCCCTAGTGTCCAGGACTTTTTTTTTAAGATTTTATTTTTAAGTAATCTCTGCACTCAGTGTGAGGCATGAACCCACAATCCAGCTGCGCACCCCACCTGGTGTCCAGGATCTTTATTGAGGGTCGGTCAGCGTTTGTGTGGCTGACTTTAGCTGCTCAGTCACCAGCGCCCCTCCAGAGATCAGACGGCTACTTCCTGGCCCAAGGTCCCACCATAAATCCCATTGTTAGCCTAGACTAGCTGCTGTGGCCCAAGGCCCCAGGTAAAACCAAAGATTCTTATCAAGCACATTTCCAAGGGCTTAGATAGTTATCTTAGGAGCCAGTCAAGGGCCGGTCCTTTGGAATGTTCAGGGTTTGGACAACCCAGGCCTTCTAGTCAACCCTTTACTGCACACCGCCACTGCCCTCCTGTGCGTTCCCTCTTTGCTTTGAATAGTAACAACAACAACCCCTGTTGCTAAGCACTCACCCTGGGTCAGGCTCCTGGACTTATTCCTGTGGCCTGGAGAGGGAGCTGCCGTTAGTTCCATTTGCAGAGACAGATACTGAGGCTCTGGGAAGGCCGGCTGGGGCCAGAATTTGCACCCGTGTCTGACTGCCTCTGAGCCCTAGCCTGGGGTCCAGGAGAGGCAGGGCTTTTGTTTATTTATTTTTTTTTTTAAAGATTTCATTTATTTATTGTATCATAAGATACACACATAGAGAGAGGCAGAGACATAGACAGAGGGAGAAGCAGGCTCCCCTCTGAGCAGGGAGCCTGATGTGGGGCTAGATCCCAGGACCCGGGGATCATGGTTTGAGCCAAAGGCAGACGCTTAACCAACCAAGCCAGCCAGGAACCCCAAGGCAGAGCTTTTAAAAAATGTTACTTAGAAATCTATCATTTTGGGCAGCCTGGTGGCTCAGTGGTTTAGCGCCGCCTTCAGCCCAGGGTGTGATCCTGGAGACCCGGGATCGAGTCCCACGTCAGGCTCCCTGCATGGAGCCTGCTTCTCCCTCTGCCTGTGTCTCTGCCTCTCTCTCTCTCTCTCTGTCTCTGTGTCTTTCATGAATAAATAAATAAAATCTTAAAAAAAATCTATCATTTTATTCTATAAACATTTAATATGTAGAGACACAGAATACATATACAGTGAAGATTATTCCCACTAAGGCAGGAGGTCTTATTTAAACTGAGACGCTAAGAGGAAAAAAGCAGGGTAGAAGCAGAGGCAGGTGAGACACCATAGGGGACCCTTACTGGTGACCTAAGTCCCTTGAGGAAACTGCCTTGTGCAGGAAAAGAATTTCAGAAAAGACTTCATTGTGCAGAAAAGACTTCATTGTTTATGAGCTACGCTAGTGACCTTGGCAGGTGACCTCTCTCTGCACCTCCTTTGCCTTGTTTATCATTGAATTCATTCAGTGGGTATGTATGTATGTATTTTAAAGATTGATTGATTGATAAGAAAGAGAGTCAATAGAGAGAGGAGCAGAGGGAGATGGAGAGAGAATCCCAAGCAGGCTCTAGGCTCAGCACAGAGCTCAACATGGGGCTCGACCCCACAACGCTGAGATCACTACCCAAGTGGAAACCAAGAGTCTGACACTCAACTGACTGAGCCACCGAGGTGCCCCTCCGTGGGCATTTATTGAGCACCTACTGTGTCCTCCAAATTGTTCCAGGTCCCAAGACATAGTGGTGAGCCTGACAGATGTGTATCTCTGCCTCATGGGATCACATTCTAGTGATAAGATTGCCAGATAAAGTAGAGAACACCCAGTTTATTCCTTTCCGACTGCTGCCATAACAGATTATCATAACCTGAATGGCTTCAAACAGCAGAAATTTGTTCTTTCAGAGTTCATGAGGCCAGAAGTCTGAAATCAAAGTGTGGGCAGGATTCATTTCTTGTGGAGGCTCTGCGGGGGGACTGTCCCCGTGCCCCTCTCCTAGCTCATGGTTGCCGCTGTCCTTGGCCTTCCTTAGCTGATAGAAACAATAGTTCAATCTCTGTCTCCTATCTTGTCATCACCTTCTTCTGCTACTCTGCATGTCCTTCTCCGTCTCTTATAAAGGACACTCTCATAGGATTTAGGGCCCACCTTAATCCAGGATGATCTCATCCTTGGATTCTTACCTAATTAGACCTGCAAAGACCCTATTTCCAAATGAGGTCATATTCTGAGGTTCTGAGGAGACATGAATTTTTAGAGGACACCGTTCAACCCTCTGCATCCAGTTAAATTTGAATTTCAGATAAGCTATGAATAATTTATTTTGTAGTATAATTATGTCCTATATCATACAGCCCTCAGATATTGCATGGGATGTACTTAAACCAAAAAAATTGTTGGTTGTTGATCTGGAAATCAAATCTAACTTGGTGTACTGATTTTATTTTATTTTATTTTATTTTATTTTATTTTATTTATCTATCTATTTATTTATTTTTGCTAAATCTGGTAACCCTAATTAAGAAGAAAAAGAAAGCAGGAATGTTTTGTAACTTTAGGTAGAATCGTCAGGGAAGGGCTCACTGAGGGGGTGACATTTGAGCAGAGACCAGGAGGAGGCAAGAATGAGCTATGAGATCTGCAGGAACAGTAAGCGCAAAGGCCCTGTGGCAGGAGTGTGCATGGTGTGTAGGAGAAACAGCAAAGAGGCTGAGTGAGCAATGGGAAGACAGCTAGAAATGAGGGCAGAGATGGGCCTGGGGCCCAGATCCTGTGGAGCCTCCTGGGGACAGTGAGGACTTTGACTCTGAGTGAGGTGGAAGCCACCAGAGGGCTCTGGGCAGAGAGCTGTGAACCGACTTCAGTGACAATAGGTGCCCTCTGGTGGCTGCCTGAGGAATAGATTGGGTTGGGGCTGCTGAATGGGAACAGGGAGATCAGTGGTCTGGCCATCACAACAGTCCAGGGGGTGAGGGTAGCTCAGGCCTGGAGTAAGTGGGGTATGAGAGGGTGGTGGTGAGAAATGGTCAGATTCTGGATCTGTTTTCAATGTGGGGCCATCAGGATTTGCTAATTGATTCAATGTGTGAGAAATAGAGGAGCCCAGGCTTTGGGCCTAAGCACCTAGAAGGATGGACTTGGCCTCTCCTGAGCTGGATAGGGTGGTGGGAGAAGCAGGTCTGGGGAGGAGTGTCGGGACCCCAGTTTGGGATGTAGTGGGTTTGAGAGGATGTCCATTAGATGCCTGCATGGAAGTGTCAAGAGGCCTGTCAGACATCTGCGGGCAAGCACTGAGTGGGCTCTTGGCGTGTAAGTCCAGAGTTCATGAATGACATCAGCAGCAAATTCAGGCCTGTACTTTGCCCTCAGGCAGCTGAGCTTGGGTGGTGGGGACAGTTGTGAGTCAGACACTCTCCTCTGATGAGCAGATGGATTCAGACAGTGAACTCACTGGGCATGGTTTGTTGCCAGCAGATAACAAAGCTGACCTTGGTTTCTGTACGGAACTGTGTGCAAATTGAAAAAACGTGCCCCTCGCCCTCTTCTGATGCTGCGGTGTCTTATGGTAGTTGCTATCCACATGCGGCTGTTTAAATTTGAGATCATTAAAATTAAATAAAATTCAGAAATTCCATTCTTCCATTGTATTCACCCTATTTCAAGTACCCAGTAGCCACTTGTGACCAGCGGTAAGCTATTGGATGGTGCAGATCTAGATGTTTCTATCATTGTTCTGTTGGATGGTTGCTGCTCTATAATCTTTATTTCCATCTGAAAGGGTGACTGTTAGGATAAATGTATATGTCTGCAGCATCTAAAATGGTACTTATTAGATCTGGCACCGTTGTGCAGTATACACTCTGCCCAACCTCACAAGGCAGCTCTGCTCAGCCTAAAGAGCAGAGGAAGGTTTTTTGAGAGTGATAAGGGAGGTGGAATATTGTAGAAGAATAGGATTTCAGTAGTGGAAAGGGAAAGGGGCCCGGAGAGTTTCTTAACAGCTGGTGCAATGTCCCTCTGCCTGGAGGAACTTACACCAGTGTGGCTGGTGTTGAGCCACCAAGGGGGATTGTGGTGTTAGGTCCTCAGAAGCCTTGAAGGACATGGAACAGAGCATGGTCCTACTTCATCAGGGCAGTAGGAGCCTTGGAATGATTTTAGCAGGAGATCAACATGGTTAGATGTGTAATTCCCAGTATGCCACTTCCTGGCTGTGTGACCTTGGGCAATTACTTAACCTCTCTGTGCCTCAGGTCCCACATCTGTAAATGAGGATAACAAAAGTACCATTGTCACATGGTGAGACCGTGTATACCTGTTTCACACAGTCCCTGACACTATATAAACGTGCACTATCATTTATTATTGCTGTTGTTATGGTTTGATAGAATCTTGGCTGCTGTGTGGAAAACAGATTGTTGGGGGTGAGGGGATTTGGGGAGATCATTGAGAAGGCCGTTAGACTTATCCGGGCAGGAGGAGGAGATGGTGGTGTGGATGGGGCAGGGCTAGGGGGCAAAGTGGCGATCCACTTTGGACAATAGAATCAGCAGAACTCGTTGTGTGGGGGAAAGGAGCAACAGGGGTCACCTGTGATATCCAGGTTTCTGGCCCGGAGTCCTGGGCACAGGTGGATGTGAAATGCCCAGAAGAGAATCTGGCTCGCAGCGGATGCCTGATGAATGCAGATTTCTCTCTCCTCCAGCTCTGAGCTTCCCTCCCTCTCAAACTACAGCTCAGTCCTGGAAGTAGAATTTCTCAAGGTCACTCTGTGAGTCTGAGAACTTGGCCTGTGGGACCTGAAGGACTTCTGGCACAGGTCGTTGTTCTCGGCTGGAGTCCGTCCTCCAGGCAGCATTCCCCGGCCCTGGGAGCTCCTTCAGAAGGGGATTTGCAGGGCACCTGGGTGGCTCAGTGGTTGAGCATCTGCCTTTGGCTCAGGGCATGATTCCGGAGTCCCAGGATCGAGTCCTGCATTGGGTTCCCTTCAGGGAGCCTGCTTCTCCCTCTGCCTATGTCTCTGCCTCTCTCTGTGTGTCTCTCATGAATAAATAAAATCTTAAAAAAAAAAAGTAGAAGAAGAAGAAGTAGGGAATTTGCTAGGCTTGGCTGTCCTGCTCGGTTGTTTCCACGGCCCTGGGCCTTCCCACCTCCAAACTTTTGCTAAGGGTGTTCCTCCCACTTGGAGTACCTCTTTCCTTCAATTCAAAATTGTACCTAGCCTAGACAAGTTCCTCCTTCAGGCTACCTCTCCTGAGAGACAGGCTTGTTTATGTGCTTGTTAATGGGCTTGTTTTCTGGGTCAGTGACATCCCTGTGAGGCTCACTGTATGGTCTGGGTCAAGTCATCTGTCATCCTGAGACAAGCAGAGGCCAAGCACCCAGAAACTCACTGCCTTATTCATTCACTGAGTCAACAATTGTTTAAAAATATTTATTTATTCATTCATTCATTCATTTATTTATTTATTCATTCATTCATTCATTCATTCATTCATGAGAGACACAGAGAGAGGCAGAGACACAGGCAGAGGGAGAAGCAGGCTCCCTGCAGGGAACCTGATGCGGGACTCGATCCCAGGACCCCGGGATCAGGACAAAGGCAGATGTTGCTCAACCACTGAGCCCTTCAGGTGACCCTGAGTCAACAATTCTTGTATGTATTGTGTGGGGGGAGTGGTAGGTACATAAGATGAGGTGGGTGGGGCGGAGCCCCTTTTGTGGGCGACCTTGAAGGTGGTGGGACAATTGCAGCAGGGAGCCACTGTGGGGAGAGGGTGTGGGATCTGTTTCTAGTCTAAATGAGCTCTTTGTAGCAGTTTTATGGAGAGTGCTTTAGAAGTGGCCAGAGAAGAAGCAGGGAGAACAGAAGCCCAACATGATTGTTGAGGTAGGAGGAGAAGGTGGCCGGATGAGAAGGTGGCCATGGAGACGGAGGGTGGGGATGATGGACTCAAGGGTGACTCAGGGGTTCTAGCCAGTGAACTTGCTAAAGGATTGGATGGTGGGGAGGGCAGGTAGTGAAGAGAAGGAAGGAATCAAAGATGCCTCCATGGGACACCTGGGTGGCTCAGTGGTTGAGTCTCTGCCTTGGGCTCAGGGCGTGATCCCAGAGTCTCAGGATCAAGTCCCACAATGGGCTCCCTGCATGGAGCCTGTTTCTCCCTCTGCCTATGTCTCTGCCCCTCTCTCTGTGTCTCTCATGAATAAATAAAGTCTTTAAAAAAAAAAAAGGGTGCCTCTGAGATCTCTGATGAGAGCATCTGTAGAATTGGGTAGTGCTGTTTCCTGAAATGAGAGGTGGAGGAAGGAGAGGAAGAAATGGAGCATTCTCCTTGGGTCATGTTGGATGTGAGATGCTGTTTCCAATAGGGAAGGGGTGAAAGAGATTGTTGACTATGAGAGAAGAATCCCTGAATGGCGTTTTTATTGGAAGATGGGGACAGGGGGATGTGACCTGTGGCTCAACTTGCTGGCTTTGAGGTGATTGACATCCAAAGAGAAATGTCAACCAGAGAGTTTGCATGAGTCAGCATAAAGGCTTAGCTGCTATAACAAGCAGATCTCACCACATGATGGTTTAAAGGAAGTGGAGGATTATTTCTCTCCCACCTGACGGTCCTGTGGTAAGTGGGCCAGGGTTCCACATGAGGCTGTTCTAGGACCCAGGGTCCCTCCATTGTGTTGCGGTGCCGTTCCTTAGAACATTTCCTTCACCTCCCTGTGGTCAAAATCAAGCTGTGGGCAAAGTGGTGTTTTCAGCTGGATGAGACAAATCTTCTGGCCACATCCAGACTCAAGGGAGGCTGGGAAACTCATTCTCTCCATGCCTTCCTGTGTATCCCCTTCCCCTCCGTGACTGGGGAGAGGAGGAGGATAGATAGATGCTCATGCCCCAGTACTGGATATTAGGTCTGGAACCTGGAGCCTGGGTCTGGGCTAGAGATGCAAAGCCGCAAAGAGATGATACCCAGAGATGCCCAGAGTGATGTTTTAATGAGGTGACTCAAAGTGAGCTGGAAGAGAGGAACGGGGAGAGGACCCAATACAAGCCCCGGGGCACCCTGTTACCTAAAGTATGGGCCAGGGACAGTCCCTCATGCTGTGCACTAGCCCAGTTTTCTTCCCTCTGACTCTCTCCTCAGGCCTTGTATGACCCCATCAACCCCGACAGGGAGACCCTCGACCAGCCTTCGCTTACGGACCCCCAGCGTCTGTCCAATGAGCAGGAAGTGCTTCAGGCCCTGGAGCCCCTGCTGGCCCAGGCTAACTTCTCCCCACTCTCTGAGGACACTCTGGCCTACGCTCTGGTGGTCCATCACCCTCAGGATGAGGTCCAGGTGCCTGTCTTCCAGGGGAGAACCAAAACTCCTGGGAGGCCTTGGGGTAGGGATGGAGCCTTTGGGAAGCAGAGGCTGCTGGGAGTTGTCCTGAGCACAGAGCATGAGACTATGGAGCATTTTTTGGTTAATTCGAATAAGGCACCTTTTTCCCAGTCACCGTACTGCCATCTGTTGGAAAAGTATCATAATATACCAAGCTTCTTAGGCCCAGATACCTTAACACCATCGGCCAGAAAACTGTAATAATAAATAATACAAAAACGTTTTGTCCTTAAAGTCAACAAAATTATAATAAAAATACTAAAATCTTCCAAAGTCCCCCATTTTAGTGATTTTTTTTAAGACTTACTTTTTTTTTCTGAAGTCATATTTTATTGTCTGAAATTGGGATATGACTTATAAGTGGTGGTATGGCAAAGTTTGAATTGGCAATATTTTCCCTTTTTTAGTTGCTTCATAAAATAAGGAATATCCCACATTGGTGATCATATTACAATATATAAATGTATCAAAGTAACATGTTATGTACCTTAAGCTTACACAGTGTGACAGGTCATATTTATTCAATTAAAAAGTCATAGAGTATCTTAAAATCAGTAGCCTCTTAGATTTTCGGAAATGTGGTAATAAAAATGACTATGAGGTAAATGGTGCCATCGTGCATAGTATGCTTTGTGCAGTATACAACATGAGCAACTATATGTGGCCACCCTGCCTAGACATTGGGTGATGATAAGCCTTGGAGAGGAGTAGAAATCCTTGAAGGGTGGGGCATCTAATTCTAGTAGCCTGTACTCTCACCCCAGCCCATGCTCAGCTGCCTCTGCTTCCTTTGTCTCCTTCACCAGGTGACAATAAATTTGGATCAGTATATCTACATGCAGTTCTGGGCCCTGGGCCAGCGAGTTGGGCAGATGCCCCGTAAGTCCAGCGTGGGCTCCAAACGTGGCTTCTTCAGCAGGTCGCCCCCCACAGAGAGGTAAGGCAGCCCTTGTTCCCCAGCTGCAGCGAGAGGGAGCAAGGTTAGAGTCGAGAGGGGACTGACAGGTCAGTGTTTGGATTTGGGTGTCTGAGGCCTGGTGAGGGAAGTCAAGAAAGGGGTGGGGAGATCACCCAAATGCTGCCTTTTCTTCCCAGGGAAATATAAGAACTACAATGCCTGGGGGAAGAGAAAGGGTAGGGATACTTCTTGTTTTCCAAATGAGGACGGCTGAGGCTCAGAAAGGGACGGTCACATTCTGAGAAAATGGCACAGCAAGGACTCTGATGAACATCATATTTTTAACAGAGGCTATTCTAATACAGAGCAGGGTCAGGAGAGCTGGATATCTTGGGCCTGTAAATTACCCAGTCTTTTCTGGAAATCCATTTATCGGATATAGTCACGAATCCAAAAAAACAAAACAAAATAGAACAACCCAAAGACAAAACAAAACAAAACCCAAACCCCTCATATCCCTAGATGCCCCTCAGTAATTCCACTTCCAAGAATCTATTCCAAGGAGATATTTATACTTGCAGACTGTGTGTTTAATTATCTATCTCTCACGCTGGACTATAAGCTCCACAAAGGCAGCGACTGACTCATCTTGCTGTCTCTCCAGAGCTTAATAGCATGCCCTGGCTCCTAGCAGCCACTCTAAATTAAAAGTAGACTCCGAATTTGAAAAAGAACAAAAAGCTTTTTATTCGCTCTCCTTTACCAAGTACACGAAACCAGAAGCAACCTCTGTGTCCAGTAACAGGGGATTGCATTATTTAACTGATGCCCTGTTGTTGGGCACTTAGTTTACTTTGTATGTTCCTCCCACCACCATTAAGTAGACTTTGCAATGATCACGTGACTACAGAGGTAGAGAGAGTGTCCTGGGGCTGGAGGGGCTCCCTGGGGTGGTCCTGACACTTCCCCACCCCCACCTCCCGTCTTTGTCCATCAGGAGGTACTTTAAGCGGGTGGTTCTGGCAGCCCGAACGAAGCGGGGGCACCTGGTGCTGAAGAGCTTCAAGGACACGCCGTTGGAGGGTCTGGAGCAGCTGCTGCCAGAGCTAAAGGTGCGCACATCCGCCATGCAGCGTGCCCTGCTCAACCTCACGCTCTTTGTCTCGGGCATGGCGTTGTTCGTCAACGTGGGCATGGTGGTGCTGACAGACCTCAAGATGACCACCTCTCTGCTGCTACTACTCTTTGCTATTTTCATGGGCCTGCGGGCCTCCAAGGTAAGCAGACTACCCAATGTGCTCCCTGGGCCCCTGCTGCTGGGTGTTTGGCCAGAAGGTCAGGCCACCCTATAGTTTTATTCCGTGTGTTATTCCTGCTTCGTGTCATTCCTACTTTCCCTCCCTCCCTCCCTCCCTCCTTCCCTTCCTTCTCTACCTTGTGTACCCCAACATGACCTTGGGCAGGCTTCTTGATCTCTCTGTGCTTCCATTTCCTCACCTGGAAAATGGAGACAAGAGTAAGACCTGCCTTGTAGGGTTGTATGCCCGAAGATTGTTTTCCTGATGCCATGAAAAGCACTGGGCACAGTGCCTGGTGTGCAGTAGGCGCTGTATGAGTGTTCACAGCCAGCCATTAAGTGCCTGTTTTAGAGGCAGTTTTAGTAAATTGGTGAAGTTGTTTTAGAACTGGACTGCCTGGGTTTGAATGGAGCTCTTCTATCTTCTAGCTGTGTGACCTTGAACAGGCCACTTAACCTCTCTGTGCTTCAGCTCCCACACCTGGAGAGTGGGGATGACAAGAACTTAAAGCATACAGTTGTTGTGGGGATTAACTGGATGAATATGTATGTGATGCTGAGAACAGAGCCTGGCATATAGTACAAAACGTACTATATGAGAGTTAGCTATGATTATTATTATTACTATTATTGTTATTATTATTACTAACTGGGCTGTTGTTCTCTGAGTCTGGGCTTCCTCATCCTGGCAGGGTTTCTTTATCACTAGGGGAGCTGTTTTATAAATGCAGCCTCCTGAGCTCCAGCCCAAATGGACTAAATAGGAAACTCTGGGACTGGGTCCCAGGAAACTATATTTTTAACACATTCCCTTCCTGATTCTGCTACATGTGAGTATTTGGCTGCTTCATACAGTTGTGCAGGTTGTTCACCATCCAAGGATTCATGGCTGAGAGGACAGGGTGGGGGCTGAAACCTCACTTGTGCCATGTGTGCTATCTCCAGGCTGAGTGGGCCCCAGAGGGGCTGCTTATGACCCATTCTCCCCAGGGCTGGCACTGGCCCCAGTGGTGTGTATTGGTATGTGGCATCCATTGTACTTGATCATTCACTCCCTGGCTCATTGGTTTCCAAGCTATTTCCAGCCATCCCAGCGAGGTCTTAGGAAGACTGGTAATAAGTCCCACAGATAATAGCCAGGCTGAGAGGGTCCAGGGCTGGGAGTGGGGAGATAGCAACTCCTGCTGAGGCCTAGGGGTCAGATGGGATTTAAAGGAAGCTTTGAAAGGGGAAGATTCTGGTGGAGAAGGGGCTGAGCAAGCAGAGCTTGGGGAATCTCACAGGGCTGGGGTCCGGGGTACAGGGGGGAGAAGTGAGGCCCCAGAGGGTGTCAAGGGACTTGAATGGCAGAGTAGGGACCCTAGGCTTTATCCACAGGACAGCAGTTGCCATGGAAGAGTCACGAGCACAGAGGGAGTGTAGCAACCATGAAAGGCTCTGTGAGGCCAGTGGCCTGGAGGTGCTGGTGAGGGGTGTCAGCTGGTCTGGGAGGGCACCCAGAGTCCCACCTCTCTGAGGCCCCAAGGGGCTGTGGAGCCTCTCAAGCGCTGCAGGGTCCAGTGTAAAACCATGTTCCCTAGTTAATTGAGTGCATCCATTAAATATTTTCCCACGCTCCCGGCTAAGCGGCTAAGCTCCAATCCTTAAATGTGGGTCCTCTGAGCCTTCTTCCTACATTCTCTTGTTCCTTCCTGTGTGTCAGTCACTCCCAGGTATCTGTCTCTGATGCAGGCTTTTCTCCCAGTGTCCAGACCCCTGTCCCTGCCTGCTCCCTCGACGAGTGCCTAAGCCCTTCCTACGGACACTGCATCCCACTGAGCCCAGGATTCTTCTTCCCTGCACCCCCTTCTTCCGAGTCCCTGTCCCTGTCTCAGATCAGATGCCTGGGCGCTGATTTCACTGCAGTACACCCATCCCTCTTTCTGCCCCATGAAAGAGGATCCATTTGTGTGGTTTCCACAGGCAGCTCTCTGTCATCTCTTAGATCTGGGGCTCCCCACTCTGCCTGGAGCTGGCCAACTCAGGAGCAGTCCCCCCCCTGGGGGGCCCCTTACAGGCATCTCCAGCAGCAGCCCCCTGCCCCCACCCCAACCCTGATCCTGGTTCTCTATCTGTAGAATGCCCTGTGTGCCCAGTCACTGCTAGACCCCAGGAGATGGCCCTTGCCCTGCCGCCCAGTCTGTTAGTACCCAGCCTGTCCTTCCTGTTCCAATTCTGTGCCCCTCTCATTCCCTCTGTCCTAGCCCCAGCCCAGGCCTTCCCAGCCTTCCTGTCAGTCCTGCCCAGCCCTCCAGCCCATCCCAAGGGCCCCAGAGTCGGCCTCTCTCCTTGCTCGCAGCCTGGCCCCAGAAACCTGTTTCCCCAGCCTCGTGCAACACAATAGTGTGCTCTAGCTCCACCAAAATATACTGCCAGCACCCCCTCCTGCTGCCCACTCTGCTGCTCCCCGTCACTGCTTTCCCCTTTGCAGATGCTATTCCCTCTGACCTCAATGTCCTTTCTTCCTGGTTGGGCTGACCATCCTCTGCTCACTCTTTATCCTCAGCTCAGAGGCTCCAGGAAAACTTCCCAGCCTTCTTGGGCCTGGGGGGTGCCCCTTGTGGGCTCCCGTCATACCCAGGCTGAGCACAGAGCAGGCCTGGGGTTGCTGAGAAGCAGGCATCCCAGAGATGTGTCAGGGCTGGTCCTGCCCTGCAGGGCGAGGTGCGGGGCACGCAGATGGACTGTCTAACAGAGGTTGCAGTGGCCCCTGCGGGAGCCTGCCAACACAGTTGTTCATCTGTGGGACAGTGTCCACCCTGAACCTTGAGAATGCGGCAGTGAGTATTTTCTAAGAACAGACCAGGGGTGACTTGGGTTGGGCTGAGAGAGAGGGCAGCCTGGGGTAATGTTCTGGGTAAACTGGCTCATCAACATGGGCTGTATTCAGAGAGCAGGAGCAGGAGGTGAGCGGGAGAAATCTTCAGGGGCCAGGCCACGCAACAGGCCAGGGAGTGTGGACTCTCTGAGGGCACTGGGGAGCCATGACAGGGCTGTGAGCAAAGGAAGAGCAGGGTCAGCTCTGGGGCTGTGTGGAGACAGACTGGAAGGGGCAGATGGAGGCAGGAGGAGGCCATGCACCAGGCAGGTAGGAGAGGAGGGGACAGGGCCTACGTACTGAGAGCAAGAATGCTGCCAGAGGTCTGGCCTGTGACGGGATAGATGGCGAGGCCCAGATCTGGAGCCCAAGAAGGGAGAACTGGTAGACGAGGAGGTGGGATGAGGGGCCATGGTAGGTGTTGAAGGGAATACCCAGGTGGCAGCTCTTGTGTCCTCTCCAGGGAGAGAGGGCTGGCCTGTTCTTTGTGCCATGGAGTGGCATGACCAGCCCACTTAATGTCTGAGAAGTCGACTGCACGAGCTGGCGGGAATAGATGCAAAACCCCAGTGTGTTTCATCCCAGACGGTCCCTAACAGCGGTTTCTCACATCTCGCCTTCCACGGAAGAGCTGGTGATTGGTTCCAACGCAGGGACACACTGACCGTGCAGTGCCTGTAACAAGGCAGAGCACAGGCACACACAGCCATGTCATCGGTCCTGGGCAGGTCATTTGAGCGATTTCACCTTGGGTTCCCATGTAAGATGGGCAAGTAGCCCGTGCCTTTAAAAGATGGCACTGAGCTTGGAGTGTGGACAGATGAATATTCTAAATATTCCGTAGTGGCTCATGTTGCAATGCCTGTTATGGGCCTGGCACAGTGCCTAACATCTCATAAACCTCATGTTGATTTCTGGAACCTTTCCTATCCTCCACCTCATTCCACTGATAGTGCCCCCTGAGGATTTAGGTTTTAGCCAATGGCTCATAGCTGGCGGGGGGGGGGGGGGCACAATTGGGCCTGCCCCCAGGCATCCTGACTGTAGGACCCAGCAGGCTGGAACTGATTTTGTAGATGAATGGAAGAATTGGAATGAAGGTGTTTAGTGTGAGCCTCTGGGGGCACCTGTGAGCTCTCTCCTTTCCCTCCGTAGGGACACCAAGGATGAGGTAAGGGATCCAGGTGAGGGGGCAAAGGGTGGGGGAGGGGGCCACCTATTAATAGGCAGCTGGGCCCCAGACTTGCCCCTCCCCCAGTCTCCTTCCCTTAAGAGGCTTGGAGTATTTGTTTTCTGTTGACACTTCTCTTGACAATTTAATATTTAAAATCTTTTTATTTTTATTTATTTTTATTTTTTTAAAGATTTTATTTATTTATTCATGAGAGACACACAGAGGCAGAGACACAGGCCAAGGAAGAAGCAGGCTTCTTGAGGGGAGCCCGATGTGGGACTTAATCCCAGGCCCTCGGGATCACGCCCTGAGCTGAAGGCAGATGCTCACCACTGAGCCACCCAGGCATCCCTAAAACCTTTTTATTATGGCAAACTTCAAACAAATGCAGGAATAGAACAGCACAGTGAGCTCCCAGGTAGCCAGCCATTCAGCATCTATAATTCTCTGTAGTCAATCGAGTTTCACCCAAAGACAGCCCCTGCTCTCCCATCACTGGGTTATTTTGAAGCAAATCCTAAACATATCGCCTGGAGATACTTTAGTATGTGTCTAAAAGATAAGGACTTAAAAAAATAATCATAACAGAAAGTTCCAAGGCTAAGGCTCAAATCGTCTGGAAATCCTTGAACAAATCCATTAATAGTTGGCTCAGATAAGCAAACCAGTGAAGCGATTGCTAAAAGCTGTTGGTGGCCTCAGAGTCATTGGGGTTAGAGGGTGTGTGTGTGTGTATGTGTGTGTTTGTGTGTGTGTTAAAAATACAAATATCCAGGCCCCGGTCCTGGGGACCTGAACCCAAGAGGTCTGGGGAGGGCCATGGGAAGGACCAGTCCAGCATTGAGTAACTGGGGTAGGGGGTAGGGAGGTGGTGATAGTGGTGTATGGGCGGGGGCATGGGGTCCCAGGGGATGCTGCCCCTCCCACCCAGTTCCTCATCTGAGCCCGTGGGTGCTGTCCCACCTGCAGATGTTCGGACAGCGGCGCAGTGTGCAGGCGCTGGAGCTGGCACACATGCTCTACTACCGCAGCACTTCCAATAACTCGGAGCTGCTCAGTGCCCTGGCCCTGCGGGCACAGGATGAACATGCCAAGGAGGCACTGCTGGCACACAGCTTCTTGGCCCGGCTGCCCCGGGGCGCACACGGCCCGTCTAAAGGTAGGACTTGGCCCTGGGGCCCTGGGGCCCTGCACCAGATGGCCCTGCCCTAAGTACCGCCCCGCCACTGCCCCCCCATCTTTGCTGCCCTGCCCCCATCCCATCTCAACCCAGCATCGACATGGCCCCACCTGGAACAGACTCTATCCTGTCCCTACAAGGTCAAGACATTCCCCTTTCCCCTCACTGAGTCCCAAGTGACCCCCACCCCATTGAGACACCAACCCCATGCTGCAGGCCCAGCACTCCCAGCTTCCACTGGTGAATCTGACCATATTTCTGAGATGACCTCGGTGGGCAGCAGATGAGACGTCTCCCCCAACTCTGCTTCAGATATTGATAGACCTTGTCCCTCCTTGCAGTGACCTCCCTATCCTGATCTTATCCTGAAAAGGGTCTTGGATCATCAGACTCCTGGTGTGGCATGCCCTCCTGTGCTGGAGACTTCCCTAGTGCTTCTTCCAAAAGAGACTCTTGTCCCCTCCCTATGTGAGCCTCAGGATTTCTCCTTTTCTTTTTCTTTTTTAAGAATTTTATTTATTTATTCATGAGAGACACAGAGAAACAGAAAGGCAGAGACACAGGCAGAGGGAGAAGCAGGCTCCATGCAGGGAACCCAATGTGGGACTCGATCCCGGGTCTCCAGGATCACACCCTGAGTTGAAGGCAGCGCTAAAATGCTGAGCCACCTGCCAACAGAAACCTCCATCTGGAACAAGAGTCCCTGATGTCCTTAGATGAGAGCCCCAGAGCTGGACCCTCTCCTAGGCCATGTCCTACTTCCCTGCTAACCTCAAGCATACCCCTAGGCTTCTCCCAAACCCAGACCCTCATGTTCCTTGCCCTGTGCCCTCCCTGCTGGCCCTTCCTGGCCCTCCCAGGCCCTCCCAGGCCCCGATCACCTCCTCACATCTCTTCTTTCCCTGTAGAGACCTCCCAGTGGCTCCAGTCGGAGGTAGAGAACTGGCTCCTGGCCCAGTCAGGCTGTGCCGTGGCCTTCAACGGAACTCGGGCCCTGGCCCACCTGCAAGCCCTGACCCCCAGCATTGGGATGTTCCCACCCCCGGGTCTCCCCAAGCTAGACCCGTTGCCTACGGTCATTTCCGAGGCCCCCCAGCCGGCACCTAGCAGTGAGGAGCCTGGAGGGAAACCTCCGCCCAGCCTGGCCTAGCCACCCGGTGAGGGGCTAAGCCCCGCCTCCTCCACGATAAGCTGTCAATCAAAGCTACCATGCTTCGCCCCGCCCCAACTTCCACTTACCAATGGCAGTCACTTCCGTTACTGGCCAGCGATTGAGGCAGCCTACAGTTGCTAGGCGCCCCTGAACAGCCAATCGGAGCTTCTTGGCTCTGCTTCTAGGCCACCCCTTAGTCCCAGAGTTCGGCTGAGGAGGAGTGTCAGCCAATCACAGCCGTTCGGTGCTGCAAACCACCAGGCACCGCTGTTGAACTGTACTCTCCCGAGGCCGTAGATCACTGTCTTTTTAGCCCGCTCCGGGCAAGATGCCCAACGCGTCCACCAAGGCGGAGCCCCAGTCTGCAGCCAATGGGAGCGGGTCAGCCCAGCTCTCTGGCCAACTGCCAATGACAGCTGCTGGGCACTCCATCCGAGGCTGCCAGTTGTCGCTGCATAGGAGCAACCAATCAGAACGTCTAAAGGAAACCTAATCTTTCTGTCAATTACCGCTGCTCAAAAGGCAGGTCAACTGCTGATCAGCTGGTCCAGGCTCAAGGGGTTGGGAGCCTTGTGTCAGGCACACGGCCGTGGGTCAGGAGGAACCAGAGACCATCCTCACTTCAAGACTCATGTCCACTCAGGCCCCAACAACCTCAGGTGCCTTCCCTGCCCAGGCCCCTCACTCTTTCTGCAGAAACTACCTCGGTCTGGATCTTCTACCAGTGACCTGTGCAATATTTATTGGTCTGTCAATTTCTCCCCTGTCCCCTCTCCCAAAGGAATAAATCATGTTTAATAAATCTGAATGAGTCGGGTACCTGCAGGGGTCAGAGAGAAGGAAAGCATCAGAATCCTGGAAAGAAGACTCCGTCTTGCTGAAGGCATTTGGGTGGGGCCTAGGCAGAGAAAGCTGTAGTCCTAAGCAGAGACTGGGTTGGAAGTTGGTGAAATTGATTGGCGGTGGGTAACAGAAGAGGATCTTAGAGAAGACCTGGTTCCTGAGAAGAGGCCCTAGTTCCCCAAAAGACTGGGTGTTATGAACGGGGAGATAGGACAGCCACGTGCAGTTGTGCAAATTGTTTACTGCACAAAGGCACAGCCAGGGCACGGGCGGTTGTAAAATCCAGCCATCTCCCTGTCCCCCACCTATGTCCCTTTGGGGCTTGGTAAGCTTGGAGGGGAGCTGGTGGGGGATGGCATCTAGTTTTTACTAAGGTGTTAAGGTGTCTGAGTTCCAAGAGGGAAATAGAAAAGTGTCTTCCCAGAGGTGGGGGGCAGAGACCAACAATCTAGAACAACACACACCCTGCCCCGTTGAGAGAAAGACACCCTTGTACAAGGAAAGGGAGGACAGGAAACCCACATGCCTGGTTCTTCCCCACAAGTGCCTAGAGGTCTAGACTCCGGAGGAATCCTGAGAGGGGAGGGCCCAGGGCCTCAGATCCGGGTAGGGGGAAAGGAGGCTGGGACCCCGGCCTCCCGTGTCCTCGGGAGGAACTGAGGGCCTGGAGCAGGACGTTCTGAAGGCTGCTGCTGGGGTGCTTGTCCCAGGTTCAGGAGAGATCGGGCGCAAGTAGCCTGGGGCCCTGGAGGAGGCAGAGGGAAGGAAGGAGGCAAAGGCGGATCAGGCGGTTAAACGGTTTTATTTTCTGGAGGAGGCCGGGGGCGGGGGCTTCGGGGCTGAGACCGAGGGGCGGGCAGGGGCGGCAGCGAGACGCGGGGCCCTCACTCCCGCTTCCGCAGGTGGATGTAGATGACGCCGCTGGCCAGGGCGAGGGGGAAGGCCACCCAAGCCAGGGCGAAGCAGTAACCGAAGCTGCCCCCCGGCGGGCGCTCCGCCAGGATCTCCTCGGCGTGAATGGCGTAGATCAGCGCTCCGGTAAACACCGCCACGCCTGCGGGGAGACGGGAACCAGGTGTCACGCCGCACCCGCAAGAGGACTGCATTTCCCAATAAGCCACGGGGCAAAAAAACGCCGCAGAAAGGCCAGGGCGCAGCACCGCTGCCTTCTGGGAGTTGTGGTTCACTCTCCCTGAGCTGCGCAATAAGGCGACCACATACTCTTCTTGGGCAATTTAATCTAGCTGGGTGCCCTTTACTCATCCATAAAATGGGACGATACTATCCATCCATCCATCCATCCATCCATCCATCCATCCATCCATCCATCATCATCCATCCATCCATCCCTTCAAGGAATATTTCTTAGCGCCTTTATGCAAGCCAAGCACGAAAATAGTGAATTAAAACAAAAGGGGCTGAGGATCCCTGGGTGGCTCAGCGGTTTAGTGCCTGCCTTCAGCCCTGGGTGTGATCCTGGAGACCAGGGATCCAGTCCCACGTCAGGCTCCCTGCATGGAGCCTGCTTCTCTCACTGCCTGTGTCTCTACCTCTCAGTCTCTCTCTCTCTCTCTGTGTGTGTGTGTTTGTGTCTCTCATGAATAAATGAAATCTTTAAAAACAAAAACAAGAGGGACTTTGTAAGGAACCTAAGAAGAGAGTATTCCAAAAACCGAGGACTATACTAACTCAGCTCTTTGCACTTGAAGTAAAAAAATTTTAAAGTAGGGGATCCCTGGGTGGCGCAGCGGTTTAGCTGGAGACCCGGGATCGAATCCCACGTCGGGCTCCCGGTGCATGGAGCCTGCTTCTCCCTCTGCCTATGTCTCTGCCTCTCTCTCTCTCTCTGTGTGACTATCATAAATAAATAAAAATTAAAAAAAAATTTAAAGTATATAAACTCACTGAAGGGTCTGATACACAGTAGGTCCACCAGAAACAGAAGCTGGCTGTGATTATAAAATTACTACTGTTATGATTCAGAGTCCTCTCCTGGACTATTACTTAGCAACCATCTGGGCCCTCCTGTCCCTGGGATCTAAATTATTTGCCCACACCACCTTTCCCAGCCCCAGCTCCTTGAAGCTCTAAGTGTCAGCTTCCACATGACTCAGAGACACACATCACAAACCACTGAATCAGTGTAAGTACAACTCCTGTAAGTCCCCAGCTAGAAAGGTAGCCTATGGAGGTACTTCAAGTGGTCCTTGGGCTGCCGATAATTGTTTTCTTTGACCCGATGTCCATTCTTATGGCCCCCAGCACTCTAACAGTCCCCCTCCCTTCCCTTCAATTCCCTGAGGACTGTGCTTACTGGTGCAAAGCTGGCAGAGGCCAGTGGCATAGAAGAGTCCTCCTCGCCGCATGGTGTACAGCTGGAACATGAACAGGATGAAGGACAGGCAGCAGAGGATGAGGGAAAGCACCATGAGGACCTGAACCGCCTTCAGCCAACCTACAATAAGATAGAGGTGGAAGTTACAGTATGTCCAGAGTTTCAGCTCTACCAGCTTGCTCATCATTCACTGCCCCACCCAATTTAGAGCCATAGAAACTTGGATACTTAGGAGTATCCCTTATATTGATTGACCTTGAGTCCTATAACTTTGCTAAATTGCCTTATCAGTTCTAGAAGCTGTTTTCATGATTCTTTAGGATTTTTTACATGACCAGGTCCACTGGGAATAGAGACATTTTTACTTTTTCCTCTTCCCTCTTGATGTCTTTATTTATTTTTCTTGCCCTGTTGCATTGGCTACTTCTAATACAACACTGAATAGAACTAGTGAGAACAGAAATTCTTGCTTCATTCTTAGGGAAAAGCATTTCCTCTTTCATTTTCTTTCACTTAGAAATTTAGAAGAATGCAGCTCTCCCCCTGTATAACTTAACTCAGATGAGCCCCACCCCTTTGGAACCTTAATGTGATTCTAGCCTCAATTTCTTGGAATTTGGACAAATTGGTGCCAGACATTCATTCTGAACACCAGTCCCATCTCTTTAGAACTTTGAAAACATAATCCTACCTTCTCAGAATCTTGGAAACTTTCTCCCCATTCCTTAAACCTATAGCATGTGGTTTCCACTCTTTCTGAACCATAGGGGAGGGAGGCTTGGTCCATCCTCTCTTGAACATAAGCACGTTGCCCCCCCTACCATCCAGATAAGAGGGTCATAATCAGCCCCACTCACTCAGCAGTGGGGCTTAGACCTGCCCACTTAAACTTTGAGGGGTTCCTAGTTCTTGGTCCCTGGAAGAGATCTGGGGTTACCCTTCCCCTTGTAGACCAGTCTCCGATGCCCCTCACCATTCTCGCTGACATTACTGCAGGCCCACGTTTTGTTGTCATTGTTCCATGTGCAGTCATACCAGAGATTCAGGGACTCCTTCCCCGGGAGAGTCCACCAGGACTGGGATGGAGGAGAAACAAAGGCAGGGTTAGAAAAGGAAAGTGGGCGGGGTCAGGGAGATTGTGGGAAGGGTTAGGGAAAGGATGAGGTGCTGGGAGGCATTGAACTGGGGAAAGTATGGATTTAGTAAGAAGTGGGGAGCAGTCAGGGGAAAGGATAGGGTAGAGGCATCAGAGGCAGAACGCAGAAGAGTAGATGCTAGGGTAAAGGGGAGTGGCCTAAATGACTTTAGAAGAAGGACAAGGCTGGCGGGAGTCTGCAGAAGATGTCTTGCTGCTGGAGTAGGCTTACCTTGTCCAAAGTGGCCACGAAAAGCAGGATGAGAATTAGGATGTGAAGGGCAGAGACCACCAGCAGAAGGAGTGACATGGCTGCTGTGGAAGCCTGGGCTGGGGGGTGTCAGGAGATGACTGTTTGAAGAGATTGGCACAAGGGTGGGTGGGATGCTCCAATCCTGGTGTTGAAGGGAGCTGAGTCCAGACTCCTGGGGGTGATGGAGACGAGGGCCGAGGGCCCAGACTCCTGAGTCTGTATGGGGAGAAGGCTGGAGGCCAGGACTCTTGAATTCTCCAGAGGTTGGAACAAGCTAGGGATGGACTCTTGGGTCCAGGAGTGAGTAGGACTAGCAGTGTGCACCCCCCGCCCCCGCCCCCACGCCATCTCCTAAGTCTGGACCCTGGGCAGATATGGGCCAGGATATGAAAATTCAAGCTGATACCCCTCCGGAGTCATCAGAAGCTGGGGGCTTCCCCCAAAGACAGGCATCCTTGACTCACCCCCCACTCCTCTCCTGGGGTGGGGAGGAGGGGGACCCAGTGAGTCACCCAATGACTCATCCCACCCCCCTCCCTCCAAGAACCAGGGAAACCCCAGCCCCTGGCTATGCCCATGAGGTCCCCACCCCACCCTGCTGCCAGACTGGTGCCTGCTGGACATTTTGTGAGGAAAATGGGTAAGATTCATGTTGGAAGTGGGAGGTGGGGGTTGCATGGGCGAAGTCTGAGAAGAAGGAGCCAGCCTTCCAGGACCCTTCAGTGTCCAGGAAGGGGGTGCCTGGAGGTCCCCCAGACTTGTGGTGTTCTTGGGGAAAGCCCCCATCTCAGGGTCCTCAGGAGAGAGTGGACAGCCATGGGGAAAAACTAAAAGAAGTTTACCAGTGGAGGGCTCTGCTGAGAACCCCAAATCCTTGCCGGGCCCCACCCCTTCCCGAATCTCCACCCCAAGTGCTAAGAGATCAGTTCTTAAATTACAAGGATTTCCATGGGGTCTGAGAGTGGGGGTGTCTCTCCCAGCCTGGGGGTATCCTTCCCAAACTGCTGCACTCCCAAGTAAATAAAGAAATCTCAGTCCAGTAACGGACTGGAAACTTACCGAGAGCGGCAGAAAGTCAGAGTTGGAGTCTCGTCCCTTGCTGGGGCTTCCGTGCCCCGCCCTACTCCTCCCTCCTTCCACCCCGCCGAGGCCCCCGCCTCTCTCACCGCCTTCTTCCCTCCCTCGCTTGCTCTCCCCTCTGGCTCTCTCCGTCCTTCTCCCCTCCAATCGAGATCTCTCTTTCTCTCTCCCTCCTTTCTTCCCTCTTTCTCTCTCCAGCCCTTACTGCCTATACCTCCTTCTTTCTCTCACTCTCCTGGTTTCTTTCTCTGCTCCTCTCAATATATACTGACCCTTTTATACCCACCCACACCGCACCCAGCTGAGGTCTGCAGCCAGAGGGAGGGACTAGGCACTCGGGTTCCTCATTCTCTGGGTCCCCACCCACTGCCCCCAGACAGGCATCTTTTGGGGACTCCCTCCCAGGGTTGAAATGACAATTCCTCGGAACCCAGGGAGCCGGGCAGGGCCAGGGTGGGGCAAGCATCGAGGAATGGGAGGGTCCGACTCTCAGGCCTCCAGTCTGGGTCTCCTCCCTGACCCGATGTCTGCTTTCCCTGATGGGGCTTAGGACTGGATGCTCTGAAGAATGGGGGTCTGGGGAAGGACACCAGATTCTTGCTGTGTGGAATGGGTTGAGAGCTGAGGGGAGTTGGCCCCACATGTGTGTCAGAGGTGGAAAATCTGGAAAGGGGCAGGGGTCGGGGTGAGGGTGGGTGGGTGGGAAGTTAATCCCAGGGCCACCATTTCCTGCCTGGGGGACCTCGACTGATTATTTCGACTCTCTGAGCCTCGTTTTTTCTGAATCTGTGACATGGATACAGTAATACTGATAATACTGACAATGTATTAATAGTGGTAGTCATAATTCAGATAATTGCTCTAAATGAATACGGTAGTACGAGTACACCAACACAGCGACACGTTCATTCCTTCATCAAACATTTATTGAACATCTATTATGAACCAGGAGGTCATAATAAAGAACATAGATGTGATGCCTGCTGTTATCATGGGGCTTACCTTCCCAGTAGGGGCAGGCAGACCATAAAGAGAAAATCTATTGATGAAGACGATAAATTTCTCAGACAGTGCTAAGTGCTTTCCAGGAAATAAGACAGAGGTGATAATGACCCTGTAGGAGGAACCTACTTTAAAACAAGGTGATCAGGGATCTCTGGGTGGCGCAGCGGTTTAGCGCCTGCCTTTGGCCCAGGGCGCGATCCTGGAAACTCAGGATCGAATCCCGCGTCAGGCTCCCTGCATGGAGCCTGCTTCTCCCTCTGCCTAGTCTCTGCCTCTCTCTCTCTCTCTGTGATGACTATCATAAATAAATAAAATTAAAAAAAAATAAAACAAGGTGATCAGACAAGGTTTCCTGGGGAGGTGACATCTGAGCTAAGACCTGAGGGCAGGACTCATTTCAATGCTGGGAGGAAGAGGAAATGCAAGGCTCCCAAGAACAAGCTCAGGTTGTTTGGGGAGGAGACAGAGGGACCACTGTGGCTGGAATAGAGGGAGTTGGAGGGGAGTGGTAGTAAGGGGAATCAAAGAGGGCCCTTGAAGACTAGGGGAGGAATTTGGATTTTATTCGGAGGGCAGTGAGAAGCCGGTGGAGGGTTTTATTTTTTTATTTTTTTTTAAATTTTTTTAAATTTATGATAGTCACAGAGAGAGAGAGAGAGAGAGAGAGAGAGGCAGAGACACAGGCAGAGGGAGAAGCAGGCTCCATGCACCGGGAGCCCCGACGTGGGATTCGATCCCGGGTCTCCAGGATCGTGCCCTGGGCCAAAGGCAGGCGCCAAACCGCTGCGCCACCCAGGGATCCCTGGTGGAGGGTTTTAAACAGAAGTGCAGTACCAGGGACTTAGTGTTCACTATTATTATCGCTGACTGTTGAGTTATTGAATTAGAATGGGATGTGATTACTATATACCTGGGTCTCTTGGAAGGTTTGGGTGCTAGTAAAAAGTGAGGGACAGGGAACCAGGTGTCTGAGGTCCTGAAAGGGAATTGAGAGTTGGGAGACTTGAAATCCTAGGTTCTTGCGGGGAAAGGAAACTGGACCAGGGGATGTCTGGGTATCTTGATGGGGCCAGGGCTAGGGGGCAGGAGAGTGGTTGGTCATCTCAACTCCCTGAAGGGGTTAGGGATGAACAGTTCAGGGACTCGGTGGGGTACTCGGGAAACCCAGAAAGTGGGCACCAGTACAGCTGTCTATAGAGGCACATGGGCTGGATTCAAATCCAAGCAGCTTGTACTCACTCATTAGCTGTGATTTTGGATAAGTTACAAATAACCCCTTTGCCCCAAGGCTTGAGTTGGGAGTACAAAATGAGGGTTCCTGGGGACAAAGACTGGGAGTCTGAATCCAGAACCCCGGGGAAATTAGAAAGTCTGTCAGTGAGGGAAAAATCAGAGGCTGGAGGGTCACGTGCTCTCCATGGAGCGTAGGCGAAGGGGACGAAGGGGACGAGACCTGGCCCTGGAAGAAGCGTGGAAAGCAGGGGCTAGGGAGGTGGAAACCAGGACTCTTCAAGGACCCTTAGCGGAATCGGCGCCACAGTTGGGTACCCCCGGAATGAAGAGCGGGCGGGAGCGGAGGTCCCTTAAGCTAGCACCCTGTGAAAGGGGGAAAATCAGCGAGACCGCGGGCGGTAACGGGGTCTCCCCCTCCTGGGCCTCCAAGGCTAAGAACTGAGCTGAGCGCCCGCGGGCCGCTTCCTCCCACAGGAAACCGCAGGCTTCAGGCACACCCAGCCTGCAGGGAGCGGCGCCCACTGCCCGCCGGCTCCGGGAGGCCCACGTGGGCAGCAGCCTACGGCTCAGGAGGCGTGCCCGGCGGCGCGGCGCGAAGGGGTGTGGCCAGGCGGGGGCGGGGCGGGGCGCGCGGCCCCGCCCACTTCCGCCTCTCGGAGCGCGGCCCCAGCCGGCCAGAGGCTTTTGGCGGCGTCGCGGGAGACCGTTGGCCGCGCATGCGTAGTGAGTCACTGCAGGGACCGGAGTCGGTGAGCGTTCCTCCCCGTCACAGCTCCCGGCATCGGCACTGTCTTCCTAACGAATCTTCAAAATAATGCGGTCTTAGTTTAAGACACACATCCCTCGGGCCTCGCCCCAAAGGACCGCGGCCTAGCTCCAAAGCTTTCCAGACGCTTCTCTCCTAGCCCTGGCTCCAAAGGACCTCTCAGCTCCTGCCTCTCCCTCCCGAAAGCACGCAGCCCAGCCCTCCCAGCCCCTGGCTCCCCGGAAGCGCCCTTCCGCCACGCCCCTCACGTGTTCTTCTAACCACGCCCCTCGCAGGGCCCCTCCCTCCCTCGGCCGCCCCCCCATAGCCCCGCCCCTGACGGCCACGGGCGCCGGGCGCCGGGCCCCGGGGCCGTCCCCGCAGGTACCCGTGCCCCTCCCACCCGTTCCAGGCTTCGCGGGCCCCGCCAGCCCCGCCCTTTACGGGGCTCCGGGTCGGCTCCCGCGCTGAAGCCCCGCCCTCAAGGCCCACCCAGCCTTCTCCAGGCCTCCCCTGCCCCGCCCCTCGCGAGGCTCCCAGCCCCGCCCCGCAGCCGGCCTGTTCTCCACTCCCGAGGTCTTCTCAGGTCTTCTGGCTGCCTCCGCCCGTCCTCCCAGCCTCGCCTCCCACGGCCCCTCCTCCCCAGTGGCCCCTCCTCCCCAGCCTCGCCTCCCACCGACCCTCCTCCCCAGGGGTCCCTCCTCCCCAGTGGCCCCTCCTCCCCAGCCTCGCTTCCCACCGACCCTCCTCCCCAGGGGTCCCTCTCCTCGGCCCCTCCTCCCCAGCGGCCCCTCCTCCCCTCCCCAGCGGCTCCTCCTCCCCAGCGGCCCCTCCTCCCCAGCGGCCTCCCCTCCCCTCCCACGGCCCCTCCTCCCCAGCCTCACCTCCCACGGGCCTCCTCAAGACTTCAGCCCCACCCAGACCGCTGTCCTCAGGCCTCATTGGCCCTTCATCTCCCCAGTAACCAGGCCACAACAGTGAGCTTGGAGGACCGAGGACAGGTCAGGCACTCCAGCAGGTAGGGACCGGGCCGCGCTCCCCACAGCCGACCAGGCTTTCCCCCTCCTCCGCGTCTCCTTCCCAAAACCACCACGCCGCCGCAGAGATACCGAGAGCCTAGGGGTCCTGTCCCCCACCCCCCGCCAGAGTCAGAGTCAACACAGAAAATATGAGAGGTGGGAGGCTGGGAGGGCTGTGGGGAGAGACCCGAGAGGCTCCCCCTCCAACCCATTGGAGGATTGGGATTCCAGGAGAGGCCAGAGGTGGTTCTGGGGTCACCTTCCAACTCCTAGCCCCTCGCGGTTCGCCCCCACCCACCTTCCGGCCCTCTCCTGCTTGCCGTCTACGTGGGTCCTGTATCACTCCCTACAGGAGTCCCACCCTCTTTGGACAAGATGCCTTTGGAACACTCTGCAGGGAGTGCCCGCTCGGAGGATGGAAGTGATGCCTTCTTGGACGGAATGGGTAATTTGCTTTTTTTCCACTCATTTTTTTCCTCGGTTTTCCCAAGTGTCCAGGTATTGTGGTGCAGGACGGTGAAGACAGGGAGGCCTTCCAAAGGAGAGCCCTCTAGGGAGAACGCACAAGAAGGGGAATGGAGGTAGAGCAGGGCAGTGGGATAGGTCAAGCCTGGGCAGTGGGGCGGTCCAGGAAGACTTCCTTTTTTTATTTTTATTATTATTATTATTTTTAAAAATTAATTATTTATTTATTTATTTATTTATTTATTTATTTATTTATTTATGATAGTCACAGAGAAAGAGAGAGAGACAGAGACACAGGCAGAGGGAGAAGCAGGCTCCATGCACCGGGAGCCCGACGTGGGACTCGATCCTGGGTCTCCAGGATCGCGCCCCGGGCCAAAGGCAGGCGCCAAACCGCTGCGCCACCCAGGGATCCCCTGTTATTATTATTTTTTTAAAGATTTTATTTATTTATTCATGAGAGACACAGAGAGAGAGAGAGTCAGAGACACACACAGAGAGGCAGAGACACAGGCAGAGGGAGAAGCAGGCTCCATGCAGGGAGCCTGATGTGGGACTTGATCCCAGGACTCCAGGACCACGCCCTAGGTCGAAGGCAGGCACTAAACCACTGAGCCATCCAGGGATCCCCCCAGGAAGACTTCCTGAAGGAGAAGACGTTTGAGTGGGGCTTGGAACTCCTCCCAGGAATTCCCAATGGGAGCCGGAAGGGGAGAGTGTTTTGGCAGAGAAAACAGCGTGTGCCTGGAACAGGGTTTCTTATCCTCCACACTATTGACACTTGGGGTTAGATCATTCTTAGTCATGGGGGCTGTCCTGGGCATTGTGGATGCTTCGCAGCATCCCTGACCTCCATCCATTACATGCCACGAGCACCTTCCCTTGCCCTGTCCCCACATGGTGACAATCATAAATGTCTCCAGACATTGCTAGCTGTCTACGTGGGCCAGAATCGCTGGTTGAAAAGGTGGGAGGTGGTGTGCTGGTGGACCAGACTCCAGAGGTGGGTAGGGTCAGATCATATGGGGCCTTGAACACCAGGCTGAGAAACTGGGACTTTGTCCTGGGGGCCCTGGAGCTCCAAGGGGAGGCCTGTGAGCTGGGGAGGGGCAGGGTCAGCTCTGGGTATAGAAAGACGCTCTGGGGCTGTGAAGGGAGGCCAAGAGGTTGGGGAGGAGGCCGAGATGATGTTCCGGGCAGGACAGATTGAAGCCCGAACCTAGGGGGTGGGCTGAGAGTGAGAAGGCAGGAGGATGGGACCGAGGACTGTTGGGTGATGGGGGCTGAAGGGGAGGGAGGAAGCAAGAATGCTATTGCCAGCCCCAGCCAGGTCTGGGCACCTATCCTCAGCTTCCCCAAGTTTCAGGTCCTATGTGGCGGGGTCCCTGAGGACCGCGAGGTCTTCCAGGAGCGCCCTCTAGTGGGGAAGCCGATGTGTACCCAATCCTGGCGTAGGAGTAGGTTTAGGGGAAAAAAATCCTGGGGCCCAGGAATCCCAAGGGGTGAGGAAGTATGAGGGACACAGGAGCTGAAATGCAGTGATAGAGGGGTGTTGGGGACTGGGTCTGCGCTTCAGCTGCGGTTTGTGGGACACTAAGGGAACCAGAATTCCTAGGTCCTGGAGAGGCAGGGGCTGGGGCCTACTGGATTCCTAATGAGCCCCTTGGCTTGTCCTGCCCTCAGTGGATTGGGAGCTGAGCAGACTACAGCGGCAATGCAAAGTGATGGAGGCTGAGAGGCGGGCATACAGCAAGGAAGTCCACCAGCGCATCAACAAGCAACTGTGAGCCCAGTGCCTGGTACCAGAGCTGGGGAGGGGGCTCTTACAAGGGTTGGGGTCCGAGGCAGGGAGGGCCGGCCCTGTGTCTGGCCTTTAGTGATTATGAGCTTTGCCCCTTGCTGGCTTGCTCTCCCCATCCCTGCCTGGGCAGTGAGGAGATCCAGCGCCTGGAGCGAGTGCGGGATAAACTTCAGGTGCAGATCAGAGTCGCCCAGAGCCAGGCTAAGCGGCTGCGAGATAGTGAGAGGCTGGAGAACATGAGCCATCTGCTGAAGTGCCGGGTCCAAGTGCAGGCCGAGGTCAAGGAGCTACAGGAGCAGACCAGAGCCCTGGACAAGCAGGTGGGTTCTGAGACCAGACTCTGTAGATCCCCCTTAAGGGGCGAGTATTGGGACTGCTTTGAGCCTTAGCTTCCTCATCTGAAAAATAGGCTTATTGAAAGCATCCACCTAGGAGAGTTATGCTCGGGCTCTAGGAGGAATGCAGGTGTTTCTTGCTTAGCACAATTCCACACATCCTAAAAGGGGGTGGTGTGGTTAAAGGGGGAAGATGCACCTCCCGGAGTCAGCCAAACTGGCATTAGAATCCTGGCCCTGCTGCATCAGAGCTGTGGGACCATGGGCAAGTCTTTACCTCTCTGGGCCCTCATTTCCTTAACTGCAGAAAGCGGAGTTGGTAAGGCAGCAGAGCCTACACAGATTTTCAGTTTGACTTACCTCAAGATCTTGGCCTTGGAAACAATATAAATTTTGTAGGTCAGTGTTCGCTCAGGTTTTTGTGATCATGGTCTCTGGAGGCAGTTTGTATACATGTGGATGTAAACATGCATAGACAGCTGAGAGAAGTTTCACCAGGTAATCCTTATTCTGTTCTGGGTGAAATTCATCCTGCTGTTTCCTGTTCTTGTCTTAGTTAAAAAAAAATTGCTTGCCTGGACCAAATGATTTCTTGCACACTGTTGGATCACAAAGAGGGCTTTGAAGGTTACTTATCTTGGTGGCCTGTGTTACTTTCCTATTTTCGATGTAACAAATGACCACAAACTTGGTGGCTTAAAATGTAATACAAATTAGGAGCTCCTGGGTGGCCCAGGTCATGATCTCCGAGTTGTGAGATCAAAGAAACTGAGGTCTGCATCAGGATCTGTGTTCAGCACAGAGTCCTCTTGAGATTCTTTCCCTCTCCCTTTGCCCCTTCCCCTGCATGTGCACACTCTCGCTCTCAAATAAATAAATAACATCTTAAAATTATCTTGTAGTGGTAGAGGACAGAAGTCCAAAATGAGTTTTACCGGGGTAAATTGAAGTCAGAGTGTCGGCAAGGCTTCATTCTTTCTGAAGGCTTCAGAGGAGACTCTGTTTTCTGGAGCTTCTCCAGCTTCTAGAAGCTGTCTGCATTCCTTGGTTTGTGGCTCCTTTCTTTACGGGGCTAGCAGTGGCCAGCTGAGTCTTTCTTTTGTGCATCACTCTGACCTCTTGCCTCTCTGATTCTGACTCTCTTGTGCCTTTCTTTCACTTGTAAGGACCTTTGTGATTACACCCAGGTAATTCAGGATAATCTCCCCATCTCAAGATCCTTAAGTTTATCACATTTGCAAAGTCCTTTTTGGCCATTAGGGTCATTTATTCACAAGTTTCAGGGATTAGGATGTAGACATGTGGGCAAGTGGGCATTATTCTGTCTACCACAGAGTTTTGTGTATTTTTTAAAGATTTATTTATTTTCTTTAGAGAGAGAGAGAGAGAGAGAGAGAGGCGGTGAGGAGAAGGCAGAGGGCGAAGGAGAGAGAAACTTAAACAGATTCCACGTGCTAAGAGGGAAGCCTGATATGAAGCTCGATCTCATGACCCCGAGATCATGACCTGAATGGAAATCAAGAATCAGTCACTTAACCAACTGTGCCAACCAGGTGCCCCTACCATGTAGTTTTCATACATTTGACTTTCTTTTTTTAAAGATTTTATTTAGGGGATCCCTGGGTGGCTCAGCAGTTTAGCGCCTGCCTTTGGCTCAGGGAGTGATCCTGGAGTCCCGGGATTGAGTCCCACATCAGGCTCCCTGCATGAAGCCTGCTTCTCCCTCTGCCTGTGTCTCTGCCTCTCTCTCTCTGTCTGTGACTCTCATGAATAAATAAATAAAATCTTTAGAAAAAAAATAAAGGTTTTATTTATTTATTCATGAGAGATACAGAGAGAGGCAGAGACATAGGCAGAGGGAGAAGCAGGCTCCCTGTGGGGAGCCTGACTCAGGACTCAATCCCAGGACCCTGGGATCATGACCTGAGCCAAAGGCAGATGGTCAACCACTGAGCCACCCAGACGCCTGTGACTTTCAATCAGTGTGTTTGTTCACCTCTCAGTAGCTCCCTGAGCTGCCTTTTGGAAGCTGAATTCTGCTTCACACATGCCAAACTTTTGGCTGTTTCATGGTAGTGCAGTGGCTTAGTGGGTGTTGTTGGCTGCTTGAATTGGTTTTCCTCCATCTTTCATGGAAACTCATCAGAGTCAGGCCCAAGCAGGATGATTTTATGATCTTGGCTCCATGGATTCTTTTGCCCTAACAGCCTTGATTATGGAAAACTGTAGATCAGGTTGGGGGATAGGGTCTCTAGAGTAGAGCTCTGTGAAATTCCCTGTAAGGTCAAGATAAGCTATAGTTATCTGGTGACATTCATTCATCAAACACGTATTTATGGGAGTGCCTACTAAGTGCCAGGCCCTGGTATTTGAGGACACAGCAGTGAACCAAACAGACAAGGACCCTGCTCTAATGTATTTTACATTCTCCTGGAGAGACAGATAATAAGCCAAATAAAAGCTGAAGAAAGAATTTATTGAGCTTAAATCACCTAGCATCCACCACAGAGAGACAAAAAGATAGAAATAGGGGGAGGGTGGTTATGAGACATTGCAGATAGAGTGAAGTTAAGTATATGTTTGATGAGAATTTCAGAAGATGGGGTGCACGGCTGGCTCAGTGGGAGTGTGTGACTTGATCTCGGGTTGTGGGTTTGAGCCCCGTGCTGGATGTAGAGGTTGCTTAAAAAAAATAAAATCTTAAAAAAAAAAAGAGTTTCAGAAGAACAGAAAGAGAATGGGACAGAGATAATGTGTAATAAGATAATATCTGGGCAGCCCGGGTGGCTCAGTGGTTTAGGGCCGCCTTCAGCTCAGGGCCTGATCCTGGAGACCCGGGATCGAGTCCCACGTCAGGCTTCCTGCATGGGGCCTGCTTTTTCCTTTCCCTGTGTCTCTGCCTCTCTCTCTCTCTCTCTCTCTCTCTCTCTCTCTCTCTCTCTCTTTCTCTCTCTCTGTGTGTGTCTCTCATGAATAAATAAATTAAAAAAATATCTGAGAATTTTCCAGAACCGATAAAAGGACAAATCCACAGAGTCAAGGATGCCTTAGAGTCTAAAACAGGATGGAAAAAAAATTATATAGAACACAGGGAAGTTTTAGAATATAAAAGTAGCCAAAAAATAAGATTACTTTCAGAGGAACTACAATTAAACTGACAACTGATTTTTTAAAAAGAGATACTGGAAGTCAGAAAACAAATTATAACTTCACTGTTCTAAGAGGGAAAGCTGTCAATTTAGAACCTTATACTCAACAAGGGGTGCCTGAGTGGCTCACTTGGTTAAGAGTCTGCTTTTGGCTCAGGTCATGATTCAGGGTCCTGGGATTGAGGCCTGTGTCAGGCTCCCTGTTCAGTGGGGAGTCTGCTCCTGCCTCTCCCTCTGCCTCTTCCTCCACTCATGCTTTCTCTCAAACGAATTAATAAAATCTTTAAAAATGAGAAAAGAGGGCAGCTCAGGTGGCTCAGCGATTTAGCGCCACTTCAGCCCAGGGTGTAATCCTGGGGTCCCGGGATCGAGTCCCATGTTGGGCTCCCTACATGGAGCCTGTTTCTCCCTCTGCCTGCGTTTCTGCCTCTCTCTCTGTCTCTGTGTTTCTCATGACAGACATAAAATAAATAAAATCTTTAAAAAAATGAGAAAAGAATCTTATGCCCAATAAAAATATCATCTAGGGGATCCCTGGGTGGCTCAGCAGTTTAGTGCCTGCCTTCGGCCCAGGGCGTGATCCTGGAGTCCTGGGATCGAGTCCCACATCAGGCTTCCTACATGGAGCCTGCTTCTCCCTCTACCTGCATCTCTGCCTCTCTCTCTGTCTCTGTGTCTCTCATGAATAATAATAATAAAAATCATCTGAAAATGTGAAAGAATAGACATTTTCTGGCAAAGAAAATAAAGTAGACTTAGACATAGTTTTTCTCAAATTATATGTGTTAATGGACCAACTTTTAAAACTTCCCATCTATTACCGACTCCTTAATTTTATAAGGCTTGTGCCTTCTGTGGCTTGATACATGCATTTAACAGCACCCCAAAACACCATTTCTGATGCTTGCTTAAATGCTCACTCTCATTTTCTGAGCCTACCATATGAGAGACTGATGACAGTCCTTTGACTTGGACCCATTTTTAGCACTGGTCTATGTAAAAATAAAAATAGGGTGGCTCAGTGGTTGAGTGTCTGCCTCCGGCTCAGGGCGTGATCCTGGGATCTGGGATTGAGTCTTGCATTGAGCTCCCTGCAGGGAGCCTGCTTCTCCCTCTGCCTGTGTCTCTGCCTCTCTCTTTCTGTCACTGATGAATAAATAAATAAATCTTAAAAAAAAAGAAAAAAATATTTGATAAAATTCAGTATCCTTTTATGCAAAAAAACTCTTAGAAAGCCAGGAACAAAAGAGATTTCCTGAATTTGGTAAAGGATAACTATAAAACATCTACAGAAAATATATTTGAGGGCAGCCCCGGTGGCGGAGCGGTTTGGCGCCGCCTGCAGCCTGGGGTGTGATCCTGGAGATCTGGGATCGAGTCCCACATCGGGCTCCTTGCATGGAGCCTGCTTCTCCCTCTGCCTGTGTCTCTGCCTCTCTCTCTCTCTCTGTGTCTCTCATGAATAAATAAATAAAATCTTAAAAAAAAGGGCATACAAGGAATGCCTACAAATTATTGAAGAGTCAGCCCAGTTTAAAAAAAAATAGTCAAAGTATTTGAGCTGACATCACAAAATAAGACGTGTCCAATAAATGTAGAAATTACTCATCACTCATTAGTAATCAGAGAGAGGCAAATGACAATCACAACGTGATTCCATTAAACACTCACCAAATTTTCAAAAATTAGTGTCCCTAAATACCAAGTGTTGGGGAGAGAAGGAGCAAACGGGAACTCCTAATGACTGTTGTTGAGGGTATAAATTCTCACATGTATTTTAAAAAGTTTTATCCCCATTATCTATTACATTTAAAGATAGACATTCCCTGTAATTTG